TATATATATATAATGTATATTTAATATGCCTATAAATCAGTATGTTCATATCGTTATCATCAATAGTTATTATTATGCCTTTTTATTATTATTTTAATATTATTTTTATAAATGCTGTTTTTATTATTGTTAATAAAAAAGAATAACAAAGGCACGATTTAAAACACTTTAACTTTTGCATAGTTTGGCTTTGCATTCATATTTCTTTTGGTAATTATTTCATAAATACGGTATACAGTAAATTAAGGGCCGAGTTTTGGGGTCCGAGTTAACTTCGGGCCGAGTTGACATGCGGCCGAGTTGACTTGGGGTCGAGTTGACTTGCGGCCGAGTTGACTTGGGGTCGAGTTGAAATGAAGCCGCGTTGACCTGCTTCCGACGACGCGATCCTCGAAAAATCGTCTTCGCGGTTTGCAATACAGTAATCAGAAACACCCATAAACGCTCAATAGTGACGTATGGAAAGAGTCACTAGCGGAACCTACTCAATTAATCGCCATAACCTTGCTAATAATAGAAATGAGGAAAGACAGGCCTGTAAAGATAATAAAAATACAATAACGCCTATAGGCCTATTACTCAATTTCGGAGTTGTAATGGCTGTTTTTAGAAATCTCCTATAATCTGTTTATTTTGAAATCCCCTGAAGGGTTTAGCCTACTTGAGAAAAAATACTTATGACAATAATGTGTAAAATCATAGAGCAAAAATTCTTTGCTCTATGGTAAAATCGAGTATTTTGACCCGGAGAATATTTTCCCTAGACAACGGCGGCAGAAGCGGGATGGGGAAGGGGGCATTGACCCCCCTCCCACTTTTGTGAAATTTCCCAGCACAAATATTTAACGAACACTATGCAATGTCATAATTATTTACTATTATTATTATTATTATTATAAATATTACCATAATATTTATACTTTTTTATCACCATTTTTAAAGATTCCCAGTCCAGTGACAAACATTGTTAACACACGTCATTATTATCCAAAATCTAGATAAGATACTATTAACTATAAATAAAGTTCTCTGAAGGGTAACTTGAGTGTTTACAACATTGTAGTTAAAATGTATTTTGATTGTAAAATCTCTACAGTATTGAATACAAATACTTTTCACTTAACATTACGAATTAGTTATTGTTAAACAAATGGAATCAGTATTATAGGCTGTTATTTTCTTCAAAACATGCATGATGAACGACATTTTCGTAATAATGATGTTCAACGTAGAAAGAATGATAAACATAAAATGTTGTAAACAAATGAAGCGAAGCGTAATCGCGAACGGATGCAAGCAGTACATTTTCCGATCTATCATCATCAATAACATATAGTAAGCGACCGAGACAACTCAATCTACATCTATCGAAGTATATGCTTTCAACTAAAAATCATCGGATCACAATCAATCAATGTCGATCATTCATGATCTACGGTATTCTTCTCTACTAAGAGATAGCGTAGAATACGAACGCTTGTCTCAATCTATTTAATGCATTTTGCATTTTTTAAAAGTTTTGTGGACTTTTCAATTGAAATTTTGTTTCACTACAGAATTGGATATAATATAAATAAGTGCGATCAACTTTACATGTACTACAGTACAGTACTTCCAAATTGGTGATGAATGTCGAATTGTAATATTTTTAGCAGAGACGATAAAATGGTTTACAGTAGTTGGTCTAGCAAGCATCATTCTTTTGGTCAATGATCTGTATGGCATGGAGTAAAGAATACCTGTACTTCTTTACTCCATGGTTATGGCCACGTGGCAAATGTGTAATGTATCTTTATATATCTGTAATATATATATTAATATATTGATTTGATTATATAGGCCTATATATATATGTATGTATATTACACACACACACATATATATATATAAATATATATATATATAAATATATATAAATATATATATATAAATATATATATATATATTAATATATTGATGCTATATATACCATGGCTATGCAGCACCACCATTGATCATTAACATTGATCATTGATGGTGGTAAAATATGGTCAGAAATTCAATAATTGAAAAGCAAACGAGAATTCCTAACCAAAGGTTTTATTTATTTCAAAACATTGGTGGTGAATGTCTTATTTTTTTCACTTACCTAATATGAAAGTTCTTACAAATTTTAATTAAAAATGTAATCATCACAATAAAATGCACAAATTTTGTATAACATTTGATTTATTTAAATAAAAAGATTCTTATATAAAAAGAGCATAAATGTTAATACATTACACTGTGTAAAAGCAGGTATGCATTACCAAGTGTGTAACTGTTTTGTTTAGTCTCCATTTATTAGTGTTATAATGAGTAAAAAGCATGGTAGACACTATCAGCTCAATGTTGTATCAGACGTTATATTTTTAACATAAATTATAAATAAAAATGGAGAAAAAAAGAAAATTATATTCAAATTTAGGTCTGAGAGTCACTATCACTCCTCAAGTCTGATTAACCATTGTTTATAGTCTCACAAACAAAAATCTGAAGTGGATGCATGAATGGTTGAAATAAATAGTACAGTATAAATATATGGACAACATTATAATAAAAATAAATTCAAACATGTTTTAAGTATCTGCAATATAGAATACAGAATAGAAATGATGAAAATATTATACCCCATTGTTTTTGAAAGACTACAAATGACCAATATAGATAACAAAACATCATTTTTTGCAAATCCAGTTGCTTTAGTCCAATGTTTCTAATGTTCGTGAGTGTGCATTCATCCATTTGTGGCAGTTAAAAGCATAAACATCCTGTTTAGTGATTGATTACAATGCAGTGCAGCATTTCTTTTAAATCTAAACGCTGATTGTTGTCACGTCAGTCAGCTTACTCAATTCAATGCGACACAATCTGATGGTGCCTGTTAAATTAAACCAACAGAAACGTCTACGAATATTGAATTGCATTAATTTAATCACTGTGATAAGTGTCATAACCATTGATTGCACTTGAGTAAACACTGTGTTGCATAGACTCCACTTGCTTTGATTTTAATCTTGACTTCACCATCTTCATTCCGATTCTCATTAGCATGTAAAACCATCCCAATTGAAGAAGTAAGAATCCAAAGTTACCAAGGTTACAATGCCAAGGTATTGACGAGAACGCCTGATACATGCTGATTTGTTTGTACTGTGCATACGAGTAATACATGAATGGAAAGATGAGTAGTCGAAAACACACAAACACAAAGAATAACAAAATGTTGATAAGCACGTACAGTCTTGTGTTATCCTTTTGAATCTATTTTGGGAAAAAACAAAGGAAATTCAATTACGCCATCTTATTAAACATGTTTTCACTTTCTGAATCAAAATATTATAAACATTTCTTTTCAAAATGCTTGCAAAATGTTAATTTACATAATAGAGTATTTATGTTTTTCCAGTTATTCCAGGTATCGTAATGTTATCTGTTGTATTTGTTGAGGGCCATTTAAGTCAGCATTGCTTTTAGGGCTAACCTTGTGAAATACGGTTGAATAGAGAAATAATAAATCATGTTTAATAATAAGGTATAGAAAAAGCAATGTCTATAGTTATAAAACATTATCTACAACATAATTTATAGCTACACATTAAAACATTTACACTGGTTGTAGTAATTCACACAAATGAACAGATATGATGAGGTGTGAGAACTAAATATGCAAAATATGGATCAGAGAATTAGCTGTACAGACAAAGACTAGAGCATCAAGCTTTGTCTTGTGTTAGTGTTTGCCACAAATTATATAAAGTGAATAAATTCTAAATATAATCATATCAAATGCAATAAATACCTTTTTCAACAATACTCTTGCATTGAAGAATGGTGTGGTTGTCTCTGATAATAAGTAACATCCTAAAAAGAAATCTCCAAGTCCTTTTCTAAAATACTACAATGATAGTAAAAAAAAATATGGAGTTATGTATATCTTATTGTATCGGATAGTTTGGTTGAAAAACTTGGGCAACTGTTAATGAGACACTGATTTTTGAATTTTTAAAACCTGGGGAAAAAAGAGCGTATTAATCACCTTTTTTAAATTATGTTCCCCAGTTTTTAAATATTCAAAAATCTGTATCTCATTAACTATTCCCCAGTTTTTCGTCAAACAACTATTTTGTCTTAGAAAAATCAGTTCTACAACATATCAATTTTTTTCCCCTCCAAATATTATGTGACAAAAAATGTGATATGCCCATATTTGGGTGTAATATGACATCATCATACCTATGAGTACATCACACAAATTTGTCACATAAAATTTTGATAGAGTTAAAGAGCTTCAATTAACTCGCCCCTAAGCCTTATGAGATATATTAAAAGAATAACACACATATCAATTTGTTTGGTCTACTTTACTGCAAATGCACCGCCATTTTCTAAACAGAAGAAATAATTGGTACCTACTGTACCAGTCAAATGAATAAGCTTGATGGTGGACATACATTTCTACAGTGAGCAGCTTAGCTCAGTCGCCTAATCTGGTGGTAGCCACTGTGTGTGCGCTGAATTGTGGAGATCTATAGGTCCCCGGTTCAATTCCCATCGCTGCCTCTCCTTGTATTTCAGCTGGAGGGCTGAAATACAAGTTATAATAGCGCACCGTCTTTCGGATGACACGTTTAAGCCGTTGGTCCTGTGTGCATTGATGGCCCATGTGCACGTTAAATAACGCAGTACTCTCTTCGGAAAAGAGTAGGGGATTGTCTCCCGGTGTACTGCCCAATCACCACCAGAAGGACCCCACTGGAAATAAGTCTTCTTCTAGACTTTCGTGGGCTATCCTTGGTGTTTACACCAAATAAATCCAATCCAATCCAATCCAAAGTGATATGCATACAGTAAATTGGGAATGTATTTTTAAGTGTTTTACTAATGATTTATCGTTCAAAAAATTTCATTTTTATATACCCATTCTGGATAATATATTCGCCCAAACACTGCACTGTGCATTGCACTCAATCTGTTCATTTTTGTCTTTCTTATTACATGTGCGCAGTATTAAAAACGTTTTGTTATGTGGTCAAAACAAGCCAAACAAATTGATATAATTTGTAATAAATAAACATGTTTCAAATTTGTGCACTTACTAATATAACTGGAGGACCAATGAGAATGGTGAGAACATGATGAGCAACAAATACACCCCTGGCATTCAGAAATTTGCCAACTGCTGTCCAGTAAGGTAGGCGGAGTATTTCATATTTGGAATGGCGATAAACTATAAACATTGCATAAACATCATATGTAAAATATGCTGTGTTGATGACACTATAGGGTTCTGCTAACCACCATCTGTAAAAAAGAGGTTTCATTTGTTATCTCAAGTGGTATATCCAGGGGTAACATATGTCTCCACATTCCCATTTTGACACTCATCTCCTCATCATCACCAGTATAAAAAGAATTTTGTTTTTTCAAGTACCTGTCATGAATTACATCTAAATTGCAAAAAACAACTGTAGTCAAACCAACAACGGATGCAGCTATACCCTGAAGGATACATACCAGCCTATAAGAATAAAATATAAAGATAAGTCATAAATAGCAGTAATTTGGAGGGACACTGAAAACACAAAATAACAGGATAGTAGGAGTAGCGCTAGCACCAGCAGGAAGCAGGCTTAAAGCACACGTCGGACATGTTACCAAGCCCCTCCACCGTTAGAAATGACTTAGTAGTCAGATTTAGTTATAGCACTTATTACAATACCTTGGTCTCTCTGATATATTATTATGTCCTATATTCGAACACTGTATTTACCTTTCTTTGATGATTTATATATACACTGTATAACAGCATTAACAGCTATCTTGATTTATATTACAGTATATGCAATTAATTGTTTCTAGCCATACCTATTGCGTAATAGAGTGTATCTGGCGGTATTTGAATCTGTTCAACCATGAATCCTCTGTGGTCTAATGGTTATGATGCTCGCCTTGACAGTGAGAGGTCACTGGTTTGAATCCTGTCAGTCATTTTATTACACAATTTCTTTATTCATTTATTTATAGGACTACATTCGTTGAGAGCTATGCTACACAATGCATTATTGGGCGTATTCGAATGGTTGATTTCGTTGACTACGAATTTTCGTTGAGTATTATTTTCATTCGACTGGTTCATAAAATAGACTTCATTCACAACGAAAATTAACGTAAATCAGAGTGCGTTAAGTTAACCATGTGACCAAAACAAACATGGTCGATTGGTCAGTTTAGAAACAACATTTGCGTTAATATAATTTAGATTAAATTTCAGAAAATAAAAATTATAATATTTACCCACATGAAGTCAAAAAATAATTGATAGCCTAACAGAATTCAAAAACTGGATGAAAACATTTCTTTTACAAAAAATCTTTACTGCCACAAGCAGAAGCAATCTTGATAATGCAGCGTGTATCACAGTAAGTATGCAACATTTTGTTTTGCCGAGTATTTACAAGTTTTCTATTCGACTGGTCATCTTCGTTAAGTAGAAATTTACCACTGCACAGGTGGGCGTGGTTTAACGAAGAACGACCAGTCGAATATGGCCATTATGTCCTATATTCTCTGTAGCTGCCCCAAGGTTGTGGAATTCATTACCGGCTGATCTTTGTGAGCCACCTTCACTCCTTGTATTTAAAAAGAATTTGAAGGCTTATCTCTTCAATCTTTGTTAACTTTCTCATGGTTAATAATTCTCATTTATTTGTTAATCTCTGTAGTTAAATTTCTGTAGTTAAGTTGTTCTGTAGTTAAGTTTTTTTTCCCTTGAAAAGTTGCACCTCCTTACTTGAGGTAGCGCCGCTAACTTAGAAGTGCACGGTAGGGGAACCATAGGCTTATCCTTGGTGGAAGCTACCGAAGCCCAGTAAACTGTAAACGAGGTACCTGCGTGTACACGGTAGTGATGGTGACGCTATCTCAAAATCGGGGGTATTCCCCCCCCCCCTTCGCATTCTTTTGTCTTTGTTTCTTGTGGCTTCAAAACGATTTTCTGTGGAAGGCGCTATATAAATATATGACCATTGACCATCGTCCACTTGACACGCTGAGATTTTTTCTATAGTAAGTTTCGGATAACAACACTAAATAACCTCTCAGTGATCAACACCACTGTTCAATATATTAAACAGTGTAGGCCTACTAGATTTATAAGTAATGGTATGTAAAAAAGAACTAGGCAGGCCCACTGGCCCAGGGGTATTTCTGTCGTTATTTATTTGCCCTTGCACACAGTATATTTTTTTCAAACCTGTGAAAAACATATACTAGTACGGTGCAGTTACGGCTGTGATGTATAAACATTTTGTATTTTTGTATTTTTTTCACTAAATTCACAGAATGTCTAATAATAATAAACATCCTAATACAATTATACACTTGAAAGAAACCCGTCAACACAAGCAAAAAGATGCGTTCTATTGTATGAGTGATACGGCTTTGCGTTCGCATGTACACGAATTAGGAACGCTTGTGGTCCGAACGATGTATATTATGGAATGTTGACCTAGGTCAAGCCCATGCACGGCGTTTCGATGGTGACTCACGAAATGACTTCGCGTTTCTATGTGAATACAACGCGTGAACACAAACACAACGGTAGGTACGTTCAATTGTGATGGAATGATTTCGCGTTTACATGTTCACAAGCTAGGAACGCTTGTACGAATCGAAGCAATATTTTTTATAAATTTACGGCACGGCGAAACTCGTGAGGACGGTGAGCAAAACAAGACTTAGACCTAAGCCTGGCGCGGTATTCCCCGGCGTAGTAGGCTTAGCTTAGAATAGGTACTGTAGGCCTAGGAAGGCTAGTATTTTATAAAGTCTTCGGCTCAATATACAGGCGAAAATATAAATGAATGTCAACCAAGAATTTTTTTCGTTCATATATTTTAGGGATTTTGGGGCTATTTTCTGTCAGAAATGTGAAATAAAAAAAAAAAAAAAATGTTGGTCGGGTGAAAATCGAGGGTCGGGCGGGGACGCTAACCAAGTTTTTTTTTTTATTTGGCCTAATATAGCCTATGTGACGTAGGCCCAGGCCTAATGCAACTAACTATTATCATCAATGAAAATATTTAATTAAAAAATGTAATTACTACTAAAACTAATAATACTATTAATATTATTATTATTAGTAATAAAGCCTATCAGTAATAGGCTGAGACTGAATTAGGTCGCTTTTAGTCCCAGGCTAGCTTTGACAACCCTGTGTCATCCCTGGCTGGTCACACACAGTGACAAAGTCAATCTCCAGCGAGCAGCACCTCCTCTTTCTTGTCCTGAATTTTGCTTGCAGTGTAAAAGTGGTATTTCTTGCTAGCTCTTTCTTGGTTTGTCAGCTGAAAATATACGGTAAAAAAACACAAACCTATTTGCCACTTCAGTGGTAACACCTTCTGAATTCTCAAACTTCTTAGTGGAAGGTCGTAAAATATTGCAAAACAATCCAAATAGCAGAAAGAAAAGAACCAAAGATGATATGAACAGATTTAAAAGCATATTTTCTCCCTTCGGGTAGAAGGAGGAACCATGAGGAACACAACAGCCAACAGCGGGCGGTCATTTGACATTAAGCCCTCTATATTTTGGGTAATGGAAAGCAAACGCCGCCAAAATAGAGTTACAGCCAACAACGTACAGTAACGCACATTCAACGTTTGCACAAATCATCAACGTGCTCACAACAAACATCGTACTTTTAAACAAACTCATACAAAAGAACAAAATATTTTGCTGGAATATATATATTTAAAAATAGAATAAACGAAGACACACAATCATCCTAACACGGCAGCCGTCTACTAAAGTTATTATCAAATAAATACAAATCTAGACGTGAATTAGAGCCAGTAGATGGAGTTAGTTAAGAAGTGAGAATAACACAAGATTTCGGTGTTTTTTTTCAAATGTTCAACTGTTATATGTTCAACTGTTATATACTAACCAAGCATCAGCCAGTTATATAAAATCTATCAGCAATCAACTCATTCTCCGAGGAAAGGATTCAAAACTTGCAGATTGTCAGCACTTCAAAGATATGGCTTTATATACACGTTGGACTCCTCCAAGCTCTGTCTTATCAGTACTATCACACCCTCATCAATTTCTGAAGTATGAGAAGTCTGTCTCTTATACCCCTCTAGATGTGTATAAGAGACAGATATTAATTGTCTATAGCTTGGAATATGACGCAATATTATACAATAGTTCTGTTCAATCCAACTACATGCCAACACAGGAAGCGCTTCATATCGGCAACAGCGAATTTAGCACAATGTATGGAGAATAAATGGCCGGATCAATAATAATGCATGAAGGCTATCTAAAGATGTGTTTAATATGGCGGCATTACGCAATATATATAGATGATTTTCATTGAAGGAATTAACTGAATTGAATTTAATTACACTAATGAGTTTGGTCTTTGGTCTGCTATGCTTATGATTTTGAGGAAAATGAGTATACAGTATCGTTCATTTTGTTATTAACGTCATTCCTCATTATGCACGGAGCTATAAAATTATATAGCGTAATTTTATAGCTCCATTGTTTGTGCGAGTACCGTAATTGCACGAAAACATATATTTTTTTTCACTTTCTGAGGGGCGCTTATTCAAACGGGGTGCTTGTGAAAACAAAGTGGAAATTGAAGGCGCTTATGGAAATAGATGAAAATTCAAGGGGCGCTTTTTGAACCACAGTTCTAGGGTTGATTGGATTATTGGCTTGCTAAAATAAAATCAGGATATTGTTTTTTAAAAATAAATAAAAATTCTTATTCAAACGGGGCGCTTATTCGCGCGAGGGTACAGTATTCTTTGCTCGTTGAATTTTGGCGATGTTTGCCTTTCATACGGCACGCAGCATAAACATCAACAAACACAAGTTGGGCTCTGTAGTGGGAAGTGTTTACATTACATTGATTAACCAAGAAAACAACAAACTATGTTTATTCTGTGTTTATGCCAATCAAGTAATTAGGTGTTTTTCTAGCTATGCATTTTCCCTACTTGGCCTATGAAGATTAGAGGTCTGGATATAGGCCTAGGCCCAGCCCCGGGCCAAGCCTAGATAGCTAGTGAGTGAGTGAGCGCAGGTGCCTCCATCCAGGCATTCCCCTGGGTTATCAGAAAATAGCGTGCTGTACCGATAGTATAATTTGTGAAACTACACCTAACATATAAGTGGATACTGAAGGATAATCACAATGTCAATAGTGACTCTGCAGGTTGGCCAATGTGGAAACCAGGTTGGTCTAGAATTTTTTAACACTATCATGGAAGATGTTGCTGGCAGTGCAACTTCTACAGCCAGATATCCCCACTTCAATGAGCAAACTCTTACCAGGTTCTTTGATGACCCAGAGGGCAGCAAAGAAAAATTACCTGTTGCCAGAGCAGTCCTGGTGGACATGGAAACCAAAGTAATCCAGAAGATGTATGAGACATCTGAAAAAAGTGGTCGCTGGATTTATGGTAGACACACCCACTTCTGCCAGAAAAGAGGTTCTGGGAATAACTGGGCAAATGGCTTCTTTGTGTATGGACGTAAAGCTGAAGAAAATGTTTTAAACATAGTGCGTAAAGAAGTGGAGAAATGTAGCAGATTAACAGGTGCTTATATGGCTGCCTTTTGTAACAGTAGTATCGCAGGCTCATAAATTCATCAATACAGTACTGTACACTACTGTAGTACCGTATACTCTCGGTATGGATTAAATTATTGGCAGCAGGGTTTAATGGTAATTTTTACACTTTGATTTTTTTTATTTTTCTAGGTTTTTTAAACTTGATGAGCTTAGCAGGTGGCACAGGCTCTGGGGTTGGTACAAGTCTGACACAAAGCCTTCGGGATCATTACCCACACAGCTTCATTCTAAACCAAGTTGTGTGGCCACATAGTAGTGGTGAAGTTTGCCTTCAAAACTACAATTCAGTTTTGTCGCTGTCACATCTCTACAGGTCATGTGATGCAATCCTTCTGCTTAATAACGACAACTTGAATAAGATTTGCTCCCAGCTTTTGGGAATTAAGAATGTTGGGTTTAAGGACATGAACAGAGTCATAGGCCACCAACTAGCATCAGCTTTTGAGCCAGCTTACATTCACTGTGACAAATCAAGTACATGGTCTTCTGTAGAAGACACATTTGAACACTTAGTGGCACACCCAGAATTCAAACTTCTGACATCAAGGAGTGTACCCCAGACGTCTGAGCGTTCAATGGAGTTTAGTACCTACAATTGGCCGAGTCTACTCAAATACTTGAGACAAATGTTGATTGCCGACTCGTATATGGATGAAGGTATGAATTGGAGATGCTGACATTATTTGTAATCAAGAATTTTGATCAGACTTCTCAAATATCTGTTGTGGTTAAAATATGAGTTGCTTAAATTGCAGATACAGGTACATGATAATAACAGTTGTGAAATTTCAAACAAATGGGATAGGATTAAGATTTATGGGCCACTTTTTCATAGTTTTCACAATAATTTATCAGTAATCTGACAAGTATGTATGGTCCAGGGATAATGTAACCAAAGTTCCTGATAAAAAAGTCATTTTTCTAGACTTTAGACCTATAATTATATTTATGGGTTTGTGATGAATTTACATAGTACTGTATTTTTATCTATTTTATAATGACTGTAATAGGCAAAATTTCCGTAGCAATTCTGTAGTTACAGAGGTACGTCTGATTTAGATAAGGAGCAAGGAAATTACTTTCCATATTTCAAATATATTTTTTGATTTGTGTATTTTAGGTACTGTACTGTATAATTCATTATATTTGTACTGCATTTGCATATTTTCCAGGTATTAACTGGCACCTAAAGATACCACCTTCATCTTCTAACCAAGCATCAGCCAGTTATATAAAATCTATCAGCAATCAACTCATTCTCCGAGGAAAGGATTCAAAACTTGCAGATTGTCAGCACTTCAAAGATATGGCTTTATATACACGTTGGACTCCTCCAAGCTCTGTCTTATCAGTACTATCACACCCTCATCAATTTCTGAAGTATGAGAAGTCTGCTACATTACTAAGCAACTGTCAATCGCCTGTGAAGCCACTGGGGAAGGCCCTTGACAAGGGTTGGCAGATGTTTGCAATGCGGGCCTATGTTCATTGGTATACCCGATATGGTATGATGGAGGAAGATTTTATAGATTCTTTTGCTTCTCTGAAACAAGTTCATCACAGTTATGCAACTCTTTGATGTACAATACTGTACTGACTTCATCTTCCTGTTAAAAACATACAGGATTTAATAATAGAATGGCTATGACATACAATACACTAATAGAGAACAAAGTTGATTAAAAACATTTAGGTGTATTAAACATTTAGGTGTACAGAATTATAATTGATTAAATTCAGATTGTTATTTTTGTATATTGTTTATATTGTCTATCAATCCAAAAAATATACATGGCCCTTCCTCATTCGCTAATCCATTTTAATCTTGTTGGCCATTGCTTGGAACAGACTATTAAAATAAAATCGATGTTGCACAGATTCTAAACAAAAAAAGACCAATATAATACTTAGATTTTATATTCATATTACATTTATTTCATATTCAAATTTTATATTTACATTTAAATAAACATTTTCCAATCTGATTTGCACATTTGGATATCTAGATTCTCCAGCATATCATACATAGACTTCAATCATACAACTTATCTATTGATGGGGGCGCCATTCACAATTAACAATGTCGGTAACTGAATCAGATACAGTATACAGTACAGTACTCATTTAACAATACAGAAATTAGATATACTGTCTATGATTAGTCCTAGTTAAGCTCTTAAGCATGCAACTAATACATTCAAAAGGTAGAAACTGCTCAAGTTGACTTCAAATGAGATAGATCAAAACAACTGGCAGGAAAAGAGTGTCAATAAGTGGTAACATTAACATTTCTGCAACTAAATGCTCTCAGTAATGCAATATTATTACAGTCTTAACCAGAATATTAATATTTAATCTGGTTAAGACTAATAATATTACAGTCTTAACCAGATTAATATTTAACCTGAAAAGTGAAGAGTATGGAATCTGAAGAAGATTGGTTAGGATTGAAAGACTACAAAAAGGATAATGATAATTGTGAACAGCAGCCCCTACAGTTAATTTTTGCTTATATTGGGAATACATTTGAACTTGCTTAAGTCGAATCCAAAATGGCATTAAAAAATTGTTTGACTTGGATAAAATTTGACTTGCACATTGTTAGTTAATGGAAAACAACAATTTACCATGTAAAATAAGACTAAGAAATTAGTTGAGTTAGGCAAATTTGACTTAGGCAAGTTTAAATGTATTGTGATCATGTGTTGTTACTGTATTTCTTTTTTGAGTAATTGAAAAATATCATTTTTCTATTAAAAACAAATCAAGATTTATACTGCATGGTTTAACTGTTAAAATTCTAAATGTACTTATACAGTAAACAGTTCAACATAACACAACATCATAACATACATCAATATAGCTCTGTAACACTGATACTGCAATAAGTTTTGAAATCAATAATTGTAAATAAATGGTAAAATCATTATGATTTTTCTATGACAGGGCAGTAACCAGGGGGATTTCTATGGTTGGGCTGTGAGTACCAACCTCATTGCATCAAATATTATTAAAATGATGATGAAATTCACCACTTACGGGTCTTGATTAAGGAGTTCATAAACATGGAGATAAACTGGGGCATAGACATGGAGGAAAGGATGCATAAAATTGTACTATGTCTCTTCCTTGTGAATATACCCCACTTTCCCCCTGAATAATTTCCCCTGCCATTTGGTCAATCTCTGAATTCTGATAAATTGCATTTAACTTGGTGTCTATTTCAATCAACACATCACAAATGAGGAAATTATATATTATACTATAATGTATAATGTAGTTGATACAATTTATCAAGCTTATCAGAATTCTGTAACAACTGTACTATGTTATACTCAATGTATTCGATACAATTTATCTGGGTAATCACACTATTATAATGTTATAACATACTTGCCAAAGTCATAACTATGGTGGTAATACAACAATATGGATTTGAACTACATGCCATTATCAATAAAATGGAATGAAACTTGATACAGTACTAAATTTACATCTTAATTTTGGCAAGAATTACAGCCATAGCAAAACCCCATAATGCTGTAAACAAAGATTAATGAGACTGATGTAAATTTTTATTTTCAATTAAATGGGTGGCCCTAATACTTATAAGGCTTGACATTTCCAAATGTGAATCTATGCCTGGAATGCATGCCAAATAACAGTAACATCAATGATATAATGCACACATTATTTAATTCCTTGAGCAGGTACAGAATTAACCATGTTTTCAACAAAAGAGGACATCATCACAATATGTACACAAATTAAATGGTTAAGCACTGAATGTTTCCCACAATGCATCAGTACTGATACTTATCTATCATTTGTTTATTGCTTTATTTTACTAATTATTGGAAATAATAGAGGGGATGTTTTGTATACAAGTTCAGGGGAAGGAAAGGTGGTGATGAATAGGAAAAGTACAAGGGGATAGTGGAGAAGATATTAGGCTTTACAGTGCACAAAAAAAAATAGTTAAGTCAATAACTATTTAAAAAAAAGAATATAAAACATTAAGTGTCAGTTTAGAAAAGTAAGTCTAAATGAGCATTTTAAAGGGGTAATGTATTCCAGTATATGGAAGCCCACAACAATTGAAAAGCCTGGTCCTGAGTTCTTATAAGAACACAACAAGAAAAAGGGGAAAATCCAAGGAGAGGAGATGAAATACAGTTTATATTCTGATCACTTCAAATACTTTTTCAAAATAAATTCAATAAATATGTTTTGGAACATACATTAGATATTGATAAATATAAATTGCTTTATATGGATAATGAAGTATACAATGTACTTAATCATGAGCCAATATACCATCTACCAATCACTCTCATACTCAACACACTAAAGCTGCCTATCACAGTACTCCACTGGGTATATAATAAACACATTGACAGTTTACTACAGGACTTGCAAGGACTTAAACCTGTGTTTTTGGCAAACACACAACCATTAGGCGAAACTTTTTTATACCTGGTTTAGCGAATCCACCGCCCGCCAATAATGATGATTTGGAATAAAAATAAAATTTTATTTTAGGCCGATCAGCAAAACCGCCATGAAATTTCAGAAAAAAATATAAGTTTTCTTTATTTTTATTATGCATGCCGCTGCCTTGAATCTTCAAAAATAAGATATGTATATTTCTTCCTAGTTTAAAGCATCTAACTATCCCATTACTACACTGTTTACTGTACATTCACCAATAAAATTTTACTTTTATTTTTTCCTAGGTCTGAATGTTTTTGTCCAAAAAAAAATTTGCTACATAAGAAAACTAAATTATATTTTTATATTTTTTACGCCCTCTGACGATCAAGGTACAAAAAAGTCACGCCTTATAAATTCATATTACTAATAATTAATTATTATTATTAATACTTTAAGCACAATTTGTTGCTGTTAGCTATTCAAATATTTTTCTTGCTACTTTTAAAATAAACTAATTAATATTCTGTTGGCAAATATTTGACAAGTGTTGACACATACTGTATAAACTATGATAACAATGTTTCTATATAGCCTATGGGATCAATATACTGTTGCAATAACACAATTATAATATTTTATATTAAACCAATATTATTTGCTACACACCTGCACTGGCCTGATTCTAATTAAACCATTCTGGAAGACATTTTCCTATTAATCTACATGTCTTCAATACATACTATGTAACACATTTGTTAAAAACAGTTTTAAAATTAGGAATAATGTTCTGAAGTTTAGGAAAAATCATCATTAATGTCTGTAAAAATGTACAAATTTTGAGTTTTCAATCTGCCATATATAAAGTTTCTTACATCATCAATGAGTATTTTCCTTCATTTATTCTTTTCATAAAACATACAAGACACCAATGATGGAAACAATTATCTATATTTATAATTAATAATCATAAATAAATACTGGATCAACTCAGATATGGCTTGCAATATCTATTATACTGTGATTGATAACTGCTATTAAGATCATTGAATCAGTTACAACTTGTAATTGATAGTGATACTGTATTATCATTTACTGTATAGGCCAGATTAATATTAAGTAATACTATACTAAAAGGGGTACTCATAATTAATAAGAAACATACAATGTTTCAATTGCTAAATTGCTATGCAGATTACAAATGACTGAATAGTATTACAAGACCAATTGTTTCCACTTCCATCCAACAGCAAGTAACTACAGTACTTAAAGACAGAAGATGCAAAATGGACTTATAAACTAACACCCGATTCACACAAGACAAAATCTAAAACACACTTAAGCCCTGTCCAGACTGTCACATTTCATTTGAGAAAAACATGTGACATGCCTAAATATGGTCATGGTGACATATTATGACCATATATAGGCACATCATGACTACTATATCTGTCTCTTATACACATCTAGATGTGTATAAGAGACAGATATATGGGTATACAATAGTTATTTATAAAAAGAAAATTTCATAATATGAACAGAAATTTAGATAGACTTCCCTATAGATGAATCCAAGAGAACATTTTTTGAACGTCGCCCTCTTTTGTCGACGCCGTTACTGGGGTGGCATTTCCGAAGTTGGAAAAGTTGGAAGATGTTTAACTACATGAACTATACTTAACTTTGATAAATTTTTCGTTTGAAGACTGACGGCATTATTCAGCGGCAAAATAAAAAGCCGGATTTCTCAATGGTACTGTGTTTATAACCACACCACACTAACATTTTCAGAAGTAGGTGTAGGAACGACTCCCGGACTCCCTAGTAATGGTGTCGACAACAGAGGGCGCCATTCTTTTTGGATTTGTCTATATTATCCTACCGAGATAACATTGTCCACACGCGTCCTTGCTAAAATGTGCATAGACCTATGTTGTCGTTACAACAGGGCAATATGCTAATCTTACACAGGTGCGAATTCAAATAAATGCAATGTAACACAGGATATCTGCTAAATTTGTCCTACCAGAGGATGTGTGTAACACTTTTTCTTGTGTGAATCAGTTATACATATTCTTTTTGGGAACTGAGTTGTTTTTTTTAATCTTGAGAGTAAATCCTGTAAGATTCAAACTCAGGACAGAATTTGAAAGGTGAGCATCTCATCACCAACCTATATCACCACTTAATTTAAATAATTAGATCTTTTGTTTTTATTTTAATCTAAATGTAAATGAACAAATTATTTCAATTAGTCACCTTTATCTCAACCAATCACAAATAATCTACTATTTTAATTTTCTTATTTTGAATAAGGAAATGCATTCCAAAATGTATAATATATAAAATTATATTTAAAAAAATCCACACATTCTACGTGACTAAAAAGAGATATTAAAGAATGTCCGATTTTTCAGTGAATATATAAAATAAAATTTGATCTCTGAAAAATATAGCACATAATAAACCCAATAATTGTGACCAAAATGTTTATCTTAAAGAAAATAATAGTGTACCACATTATAATTCATGTGGACAATGGGAAATGGATAGATACAATAAAAACAACAAATGTTTAATATAACATCTTTAATTTTAACTTATTTGAACAAATACCTAATATCAGACTTATCATTGCAACATAGGTCAAAGGTCATCCAATGATGTCAATACATGTTTAGTTTTGGTAGTGTAGGAAAATATATTAATACTTTAAACTCAATTGATTAAGATGATTGAAAATGATCATTTTGTAAAGAAAAACGCATCAAGACTAAATAAAATACACAGTATAAAAAACCTGAGACATTGACAATGCAGTGATTTATACAATGAGAAAAGAGAGAGAAAACAATTATGGGGCACTGGGTATACTGTACCCCTTAAATACATGATTAAATCCCTCATTTTAAGTCCTATGTAGCTTTTAAGGTTTCCAATTTATTTGGTCATAATATTATGAGACCTATAAAGTCCATCTTGACTGACCTGCAAAACTAACCTAAGAGTGTATATAGAACAAGGGAGCCAACAACGCTCCATTGACAGCGTAAACAAACGATACGCCATATGCTGCCATAGTAGAATGCCCGCTGCAGATAAATTACAAAGCAATGCACCACAAATCGTCTCTTGTCTTCCACACGATACAATGCTTTCATTGAGGGTGGTGGATTTCTTTATTTTTCCTTATCATCATACCATCGAAGTGGGGCACTTCCTGTGAACTCATAGAGGGTGCATTCCATAACGACGATTGTGACTTCCATAGTAACTAGGGAAGTGACGTATGTACGAATGAGAATACGCTATCTTGTTTTATTTATACTCTTTGATATCTCTTCACAAACCACAAAATAAAATCTTTCAATCACTTAAAATAATTTTTTAATTAAGATCTTTGAAAGTAATAATCAATCATCATTAATTAAAAATTTGGTTCTACAAAGCCATTTATGTAGGTAAAATCTTGATATTACTATTAGGTATATTATTCTGTTTCTTTAAAACGTGCTTTGACAACTTCTCTACATAAGGAATGACTACATTAAGCTTAAATTTGAACACAAACCATTATATTGGTCAAGATCCTGGAGATGATGGGAATCCAACGGCAGTATTCTGTGTCTGCATATTGACATCTTTAATGATCATCTGAGCAACCTTCCATGCCATATCCTCTTTTGTCTATAAGGTATTTAAAAATCAAACAATTCATATTTATATTTCTTGTACATAAAATATTAATGTTTCAATTAATGGCTTATGCTGGTATACTTGGATAAGTTCTTCGTGAGGAAGGCATATCACTTTGCAGGGCCAATAGCCCACAGAGCAATTCCTGGTTTATGATATTAAGAAGCCATCCTGTAGTTTTAAGTGTGTACGTCTATGTCAAAAGTCAAAGTATATACACAAACCAATTACACTTCACCATCTGCATTTTATAGTATTATTAAATCTATATTTTGATTGAAGAATTCATTTAACATACCTTATCTTCTTCTTTGGTGACAAATTTCCGTAGAGAGAATTTTCCTAGGTAAAAATTATGATCAAGAACAATTATAGTTAGATAAGATTATAGTTTAAATATTGTAAATCAACAATCAACAATTATAATACAGTAATTATAATTACTAATATTTTTAAAAACAGGAGTACTGTTTTTAAAAATGTTTTTGGTTACAGGCTAATCTTGGTACAAATGATGCTTTTAATATAAAAGCATCATTGTGGTGATAAAGTGTTTCTGTGGTTAAAAAAGTATTATTTATTGCAAAAGCTTTTTAATATATAACGGCAGTAAATACCTTTTGCTTTGTGTTGTGCAACCTCTGGATCTGGTTCGTATTCTGCCACAAATTGTCCAAGAGCATTCACAGTACCAAAGCTCATAGGCCTACAACAACAGAAAAACAAAAACAAGTTTAAATCTGACAAATGTATGGAAGATGCTGATGATGACGCTGATGGCGATAACAATGCAGATGACGATAGAAATCACGATCACAATACAAATACTTGGATGAATGACATTTTTATATCAAGAAACGCGAACCAAAAAGCAGACATAGGCCTATTACATACATAAAAGTAAGATTTAGCAAATCATAATGGAGTACCACAGTCGTGTCGTCACAAAGCCAGGTAGCACCCTCTGTTGCCAACCAGACGGTGGTTACCATTCATTACGCCTGAATGACTTCATAAGCTTTCTGGAATAGGCATTTTAAAATCTAATATTTTACCATCAAAATGTACTAAAGGCACAAAAACTCGCATTATATTAGTTATCGAACAAACATTTAATCATCAATTAAAATGTACAAAGAAAAACTAAGATACAACACCTTAATAATTACATTAGAAATTGGGATCAATGGTTTGTCAGTGGAAAAAATGGCATGCGGTTGAACACATTTTGCAACGATAGCAACGGAGTAGTATCATATGGTATTGTGACGTAACACTGTAGTACTCTATGGCAGGACAGGCCTAGCTCTGCCAATCTCAAAATATTTATAATTAAAGATGTCTGCTTTTCAACACCATTATAAAAAAATACTACATTGTCCACTCACGCTTGGTTAGGCCTCGACCATAATGAACTCGGATTCAGATCACCAGAGTCTATCGTGAAATCATTCATTTCGAATAACGACTTCACTTTGCCCTCTGCTAATAATGTGTTCTTATTGGCTGCTTGGTCAGCACTGGAATGGCCAGTTCCACTTGTCAGTGGGGATTGCGAGCTATCTGCCATAGGAACTTTTATTTCACTTTTAATCTGATTGACTAATTCAGATAGGAACATATAGTATAAATCACTTGTAAGAAACCCAGGAAAATGAACCTAGAGAGGAAAAATAATGGCAATGATATTAGAATTTGGTAGATATACACCATTTTTTCAGGTCTATTTTGAAACAGCGCCACCAACGTGTTGCAATTCAGTGGGGGACGTCCAGCGGCCTAGCCTAGCCTGAGCAGCGAGCTAGTAGCGAATAGAGCGCGCTGCGCACACACCTTTTTAATATCAAGAAACGCGAACCAAAAAGCAGACATAGATAAAAGAAAGATTTAGCAAATCATAATGGAGTACCACAGTCGTGTCGTCACAAAGCCAGGTAGCACCCTAAGTTTCCAACCAGACGGTGGTTACCATTCATTACGCCTGAATGACTTCATAGGCTTTCTGGAATAGGCATTTTAAAATCTAATATTTTACCATCAAAATGTACTAAAAGCACAAAAACTCGCATTATATTAGTTATCGAACACACATTTAATCATCAATTAAAATTTACAAAGAAAAACTAAGATACAACACCTTAATAATTACGTTAGAAATTGGGATCAATGGTTTGTCAGTGGAAAAAATGGCGTCCGGTTGAACACATTTTGCAACGATAGCAACGGAGTAGTATCACATGGTATTGTGACGTAACACTGTAGTACTCTATGGCAGGACAGGCCTAGCTCTGCCAATCTCAAAATATTTATAATTAAAGATGTCTGCTTTTCAACACCATTATAAAAAAATACTACATTGTCCACTCACGCTTGGTTAGGCCTCGACCATAATGAACTCGGATTCAGATCACCAGAGTCTATCGTGAAATCATTCATTTCGAATAACGACTTCACTTTGCCCTCTGCTAATAATGTGTTCTTATTGGCTGCTTGGTCAGCACTGGAATGGCCAGTTCCACTTGTCAGTGGGGATTGCGAGCTATCTGCCATAGGAACTTTTATTTCACTTTTAATCTGATTGACTAATTCAGATAGGAACATATAGTATAAATCACTTGTAAGAAACCCAGGAAAATGAACCTAGAGAGGAAAAATAATGGCAATGATATTAGAATTTGGTAGATATACACCATTTTTTCGGGTCTATTTTGAAACAGCGCCACCAACGTGTTGCAATTCAGTGGGGGACGTCCAGCGGCCTAGCCTAGCCTGAGCAGCGAGCTAGTAGCAGATAGAGCGCGCTGCGCACACATGGTAACTACGTAGAGTGAAATGTCTAGGCCTCTGGAAGTCCCCAGCGGTAGTTGCCAGATTAATATCAGAAAAATTTTATTTCAAATACAGCGAAAATGGTGTATAGTGTATTAAAAATTTGGTAATAATAAACTAGTTTTTTTTTTGTAGTGAATTAAAACGAGAATATGTGTACTTAATATTAACAATACAGAGCACCCTTCAATTCAAGACCCTTTAATTCTGAGACCACTGTATTTCAAAATCACTTTTTTTAAGTTCTACCAAATAACATTCACAGAGCCAACCCTCTAATTGGAAACCAAATGCTGATACCACCCTAAATTGGAGGTCCCAAACTGCACTATGTGAAGTGTTGATTTTGTTAACTACATTAATACAAGCATTAATTACAATTGATATAGATTTTAAAATGCATATAAAACTTACAGACTCTATTGTCATTAGCGCTTGTTGTTTAGCAGTAGCAAAGCAGTCTGGTAGAGGTCCCTCCTCCCTGCATATATTGCTCTCAACCTCCAATCGCACCACGTCACTGAAGCCTAGGGGATCAGTTGCTTGTAGAGAAAAGTACCTAAAGACAAGAGTTAGATTTGTTTTCAAATGGATAATTGTATAGAAAAAAATAATTTAAAAAACAAAAGAATATATTTGTACTGTACATAGGCAACATAATTTCAAACAGTGTTCTTCCATTAAGAAAATTAATTCTGGTAATTAAACCTAAAATTATAAATGTTTTTAGTTTACTGTTAGCATTATTATATAAAATCAAATATCTTCTACCAAAAACCCATTATAATCCTGGGTGATAAGAGACAAAGGATAGAAAAAGTACCTTGCCAAAAGACATTAGCAAATTTTACAGCATGGAATTCAAACTCTGACCTCAAGGTCACATTGTCTGAATAACCACCACTACACCAACCACTCCAACTAAGAATTGAGCAGCAGAACATTAAAAAAATTATACAATGTACGTACTTATCATAGAGCACCATGGCATCACTCTGTGCCTCCATTCCATCATACTGACCCTGTTCTGTCAGTAATTGCTGTTGAAAATTATCAGCTGCAAGGTAGAACTGTAGCAGATTTAAACACTTCTCCTGCTCCATGTACTATTTGATTGAAAGAGAAAACATAAACAAAATATTATGAACAAGTAATGACTACAATATATATAAATTATTTAAAAAATTAATTATTAAAAAATTCAATTATTATTATTATTATTATTATTATTATTACTATTATTCATGGCATCACATTCTGTTATGACATCACATATTATGATGGCATCAAACATGTCTATGACATCACTGTCGGAAACCTTGTCTCAAAGTTTCTTTTGAATATTCCACACGTTGCACTCATCATAACATGTTTTTCAGGATACACTGATAGTTATAAATGATGCAATAAATGACATCATAAATAGAAATGTAACATCACACCTGGTGATGACACATTTCATATTAGACAAACCATGTAATATCATACCTCCATAAAATGGAACATTGCAGTGTCATTGTAGAGAATATCAGCCAAGTAGACCTTGCCACTTGTTAAGATATCCACCTGGTATTTTGCATGGAATTCACTGCTCAAGAATGCTGGAAAATGCCTTCAAAGTAAAAGAAGCAAGACACATATCAGTATTGAATTACTAAGGAGGCTTCAAGCTCAAAAAGCAACAGACTTAGCAAGACATTACTAACAATTTTAAGTCAGCTTGAGGGCTTATTACTAGGCAGTGTATATTTACATGGTACAGTAGACTTATTCTTTTTCACAACATTTTGAAAAGAGTTTGATGTACTGGTATAGCTGGTAAAATATACACTGATAAAGGAAAGGATAACCTCCTAACTAACCATCAGGTATGATGCTGTCTCTTATACACATCTAGATGTGTATAAGAGACAGGTTCTTGTTGGTATGATGTGGATGTATGATGTGGATGTAATCAAATAAGGGTTGAGCCAAAAATAAGGGGAGAATGAAGGACATGTTTTTTTTATTGGTATCATCCACTTTAAATATATGTTACTTATCAATTGCTTATTATCTATGTTTGTGTAGGTCACTATCAGCTGACTGATGCAGGCATGTTAAATATTCCAGATCATATGACTTTCTACCACATTTTAAATATCTATAATCATTGTTGTATTTCACCTTAACTGTGCAGTTCCCGGGTTTGTAAAGTCTTGATTACACTTACCTAGAAGCCTTGTTTATCACTATTCAGTTGTATGTGACATACACCTAAAATTTTCCCATAAATGGGTGTTATCATCTTGCCCATATATGGGCAAGTCACACACATTTGTCACATGAGACTTGATACTGTAGTGTGTGCAGGCTTATTAAATTGTGCTATGTTACCAAAGAATGAAACAATTTCAACTTTAAATAAAGCGATAGAAAAACTATTTTAAAAACATAGCCTCAGTTGTTTTTGTCCTTCAAATTATCAAGTTCGTGCAGTTTTTTTTAAAATTTTCACTGTTCACTATGTGCTGTTTCAATGTTGCATTTTTATGAAAAAGAAACTTCATAGGCTTTCATTGGCATTATTTGTTGTATTTGTTTTTCCTTCTCAGTGATTTGTGAATGTTCTGATTGTTTTATGCTGTGTATGCAAGACATTCCAACCTTATTTTAAAAGAATGTTAAATTTCAGATTTTGAAAAATTACTCACCTATAACTTCCAATCGCATTTCTTCACTAATTCCTACTGGATTAGGGGCATCTTTGCATAAGTATGTTGTATAAATATTCATTGCATCACGTTCTATAGCTGTAATGAAAAAATATTATAATGTACAGTACTGTACTTAAGATTTTTTAATGATTTTCATCCAAGAGTGAAAATCTACACATTTAGCAAACCAGCTCTTTGTACTCAAATGCTGACATGAATTATATTCAATGATTTACTCGATTAAGAAAAACACCACATCCTTATTTTAAAGTGCATTGCATTATAAACTCGTCAAGCAAACAAATATATACAGTATCATTAAAATTTCACTTACGTGTCCGTGGATCTTTGAATTCAGTTGAACTTTCATGTAGACTGTTTGTATCGTGTGCACGTACCTCTCCTGTAAGGGGCGTCTTTTCAGCAAGTTTTGCCAATCCTACAATTGAATCCGACTTAGAACGTGCATGTGTCTTCTCATGATGCAAAACACCAGCAACAGCTTTACTTTCAACTGTTACAGATGGCGTGCTTGTAACAGTCTGTGAGTTGTTATTAACTGTTTCTTTTGGTATGATTTTGGCAGGATTCGCAAGTACATTTGGTGATGAATTAACTATATTTGCACAATTGGTGGGAGACGATGATTCTATAGAAGTGTTCGCTAAGGAAGATTTCAACATTTTAATTGATTCAGTTCGTATCCTTGACTGGGACGCTCTGCTAAAACTCTCGACAGCTAGCCAGAACTTAACCAGATGTCCAAGATTCTGAGAATTCATGTATTGAATAAAGTAGGGTAGAGCACCATTGTCATTCAATACCTCATTTAGTGTTCTAGATAAGCGAGACTTTGCAAGGACTTCACTTTTACGTGTAGTTGTTGCTGTAAAAAAAATTAATAAAACAAAATCATGCTTGTTACCTTTTGGCTACAAAATATTTACCTATCATTTGTCCCTTTCCCCTTTTCTGATAATTGGAGTTCTCAGTTTAATTAGGCAAACAGCTAATTCATTGGCAAACTAAGTAACTCAACACTGAGATTAAACAGTCTGACCAAACCAAAGTTACATACGCAGAACAAGGAAAACAAAAATGTAACAGAAAGGGTAACACCTTGAACACAGTACTGTACTATCAACCCCAGACATTGTACACATAAGCCATACACCAAGTGAACGATGTGACAAGCCTCGAGGTCACTGATAACAACCAGACTGCTAAAACTTTAAAGTAAGCAGTAGACACATGTTCCCACTAGCAGCATACTGTATTTTAAATTGGCAATTGCCACAAACCTGATCCTAAATCACCATACTTTGTTTCTTCATCACTTGGTATCCTCTGCAAGCCGCCCCTAGGAATACCTGATGGTTCGTTGGGTTGATTGCTACCCCTCCTCCTAGCACCAACATTTCCACCAGAACCCCCATTGGGTAGCTGGGTGGATATCTTTGAAGTCTGGTTTGTCTTTGAACTTGATGACCTCCTTCCATCATTTTGATTGCGGTTTTTAGGAGGAACATGTTCTGGTTTCTTCTCTGTGTGTAAAAGGAACAAGACTGTAAAAGTTTCACTACACTTCATTAACAATTAAAGATGTTACACCTTATTTTTAAATCTATATTGAAGAGCAAAATGATTGTATTTAACACTGCCGCATCGCCTACCGTCGCAAGATAGACCCATCCTAGCCATTTTAGCTCATTAAAACAAAATTTTTTTGTTGTCAAAAAAAAAAAAAAACTAACTAAAATACTGACCCTCAATTTCGAACATTTTGGGTTGGTCGGGCATGGCCAACACAACAATTTTTTTATTTGGCCTAATAGTGGAGCCCTATGCAACTTTGAATAAAAAAGTCTCCGCCTAAATAGGGGTGTTTTCTAAATTGGGGTCGGCCGTAGTGTTTAAGATATTTTCCCTCTAAAAATGTCTTTGTAGCGGAAGTTTAAATGTAGGTAGGCCTTCTCAGTTAACCTACTTAAAATAATTTTGAGGGCAGTATATATTGTCATTGCTATTAGACCTAGGCCTAGTTCTTGTTTAGGCGTAGCTTTGGCCTGGCATTAGCCTAGCTACCATAAAAGACATCCTATTTTTATAGGCGAAAGCCTACCACCAGCCTAGCATAGTTAAGCTTTCTAGCCAAAATGGAAATAAACCTAAACGGCAATAAGTCAAAATGGCAATGACCAAAACAGCAGTAAACCAAAACTGCAACACCTTTTTACCAGAACGGCAATAGACCTAACGGCAATAACTCAAAACGGCAACACTTTCTTATCAGAACGGCCACAGCATATAAAGTGCAAAAGGTGCGAACGTGAATCTAGAACAAGGTAAAGAAGTAAAGGTTCCGTAAAACCTCGAATGGAGGTTTTACAGTATACTTGTTAAACACGTAACTAACTGGAACATTAGTTTATTAACAATTATTCTTATTAGCATTTTATTACAGATTATTACAGTATCAATTGGTGATATTTTTCTCCTTTACAGAACAACGCGATTGGTTTGATACACGTTTATTGTTATCGTTTGATAATAATGATGAAACTGTCTTGAATACAAAACAAACATGTGAAATGCTCTGCATACCATTTTTTAAAACTCGGAAATAAAAACATATTATTTAACAAATTAATTCAATATCGTAACAAAACGCCCAGGCCTTTAGGGCAAATAGAAAAATTTATTAGATTATCACTCCCACCAGCATCAAAAATTCGGGACATATTGATGCAAGGATAAAAAAAAAAAAAAAAATTTGCCGCATCAATTATTTCAATGGCATAAAAATAACAATGCAATTTTGTGACTTCAAATACATTTTCTTTAAAAAACTATAAAATTTAACCAGTTTTTATACAATATTTACTATTACAGACCAAATATAAACAGTCACTCCCTCATCAATAAATTCAAAAGCGAAATAATCTATTGTTCCGATTAAAAAAAAAAAAAACCCGCCTCCCTCATCAATTTTTTTTAGAGTGATAATCTAATAATTTTTTCTATGTGCCCTTATTATGAAGCATATTATCAGAAATTGATTAATTACTACTGTCACAATGTACTGTACACATAACTTTTCACTTCTGAGGAACAGCAAAAAAAAAAGAACATTGTTTTCCATATAGAACACTACATACTGTAGGCCTACTAAAAGACACACTAAAATGATGATCATATTCAAATTAATTTCCAAAAACAGTGGTATTTAAATTTCCAAAACAATAACAATTGTAAAGAAACAAAGTAAAACAAAATCAAAATAAGAATATGTATACTAATGCATCATAACAAATACAACATAACATAATACGGCGCAACCGAAATGATCTGTATTCTTGCCGTTTTTGTGTGTTGCCGTTTTGGTACTTGTCATTGCCATTTTGGTTTATTGCCATTTTGGTTATTGCCATTTTGGTTATTGCCATTTTGGTTATTGACTTTTTGACCTGGGATAGCTTTAATAATAGTTAGGCCTACATAAATAAATACATGGTACTATGGTAGCTGAGTGGTTAAAGGACAAGATAACTATCTATCCTTGGCCTAGCTCTAAATAGATTAATCCTATTTTAAACAATACTACTTCATAAAATGATACATTTCTAGTCTAAAAGCATCATTATATAGAATCCTCTTTGTTATGGAAGGGAGTTTAACAACTCCATGATTAAGGTTTCCTCATCAAATTCATCCAGGTCAACTGCAAATCTCATTTCAGTCCCTGCCAGGGAAGGAGGTGTTGTGTTGTTTTGACTGATCGCATGGCCTAGCCTAAAAAATGTTCTCAGTTTTACCTGATTTTCTCCGAAACAACGGCATTATCAGTGTCCACCATTTAGAGAGCTGATTCTTCAGAAAGGATAGAGGGTACAGTCTATATTTTCATTGTAATAATTTTCCGGTTATTTCGTCCAAAAATATAGCTCGACCGATCTTGATTTGATCACCCAATCGAACTTCGACCGGGGAAAGAGGAGACGACCTAAGCACAGCCACAGGTTTTCATCAATAGCGCCACCAGTAATTTTACAGTATGGCTCTTTAAAAGTGAGAATTGGAAAAACTGGCCCTATAACTGTATGCTGTCGGTATGATTATGTGATCTATATTACTGTCTTGCTAAAATGGATGTAATAATGCTAAATTATACAGTAAATGTTTTCGTTTTCCAGAAAGGTGTAATCCTTGTTTTATCCAAACTACGCCGTCAGCTACCCCACTTTATTAGTTATGCTCCTTCACTTTTCCGGGACTCGGGAGATAATAGTAGTCTGTATCGATATTATTAAATGCATTTATTAAAATCACCAACAACTAGATGCCTGAAATGTAAGGGATAAAAACTAATCACAAAAAATTCTAGTTCATTCCATTCCACATTAGATTAATGTTTGTTTCTTTTGAAAATTGTAAGTGAATGCACCCTCATTGTTGATCTGTACCGCTGATCTTAATGTTCAATAAAGTGAAGATTTGATTTTACTCATTTGTTAAATCTACCAATGAATGCCTTTTACTGTTATAGAATGCCTATTTGTAAAGTCGTGGTACACGTGGTATAAATATACATGCTTCAATAATAAAGAAAACGAAACTTTCTAACATCATGTTTCTAATTTTATTGTATAGTTTCCAGCTCAAATATTAAAAACAAAAGAGAAAAAGCAACAATGAACAAGAACCACAGCAGACCATTGGGGAAAACAAATAACCATATTTCTTAGTAGATATCAAGTTATTTATAACATACACACTGCAAAAGAATAAAAAATATTAAAGGTCGGTAATACCAGGGTGTTGTTATAGTGACTGGCGAACCAATGAGCCCAGGCCCAATTTGTACCATGTTGCAATCTGGCCTCTTAGCAATTGTTGAGCTAATTGATACACATACAGTATTAAATTCTTGTTAACATAATTTCTGTACTTGCAGTTGTACCTCAGTTGATCAAATCTAGTATTGGATCATGCATCAGTAGTGGCACCAGGAACAAACAATCAAACATGAAAGCTATATAAAGAAATATTTCCTGATTTGCATTTGCACAAAGCTTTCTTGAATTTACAAAATTGAAAATGGTAAATGTAAAAGTAAATAATAGTAAAACAACAAACTTGCTTATTTTTATTGGGAAGTTCATGTTTTCTTTTGCTTTTTAAATAATTAATGAATTAATTATAATGAATCCAGGGAGAAATATCTAAAGATTAGGAAATGCAAACACATTTATAATTAATAAATGATTAAAATAATTGTTTATAAATGTTTAAAACAAGAAGACAATGCTCAAAATTAAAAAATCTACACCAGAAAAGCCTTAAACATTGATATTTTATCTTAATAATATACATTCTACGTGACATTTTTATACAGTACATAACTTAAATGTTTAAAACTAAGTTTTCTTAACAAGTGGAAGCTATTATTCATAATATTTAGATTTATAATGTTAACAAACAATGCAGTACAAGTTCAGTGGCAGATTCAGAAATTTGAAATAGACGGGGGCCAGGAAGGGACTTTCACAGTCAGAGGGTCTAGAGCACCTCAGCCCCACCGTGGTTAGACTGAGGTAAGACATTTTATGATTTTGGCACCTCTAGATGGCCGGAAATGGCACTCTCATACCTAAATTAGCTTTTTCTTTTTTGCTCCTTTGAGTTTATAATTTAAAAAAATATAGGGGCCCCGGGTCGGCTCAGCTTCCCACAAATCCTTCATTACATTAATAAATTTTATCAAGTCAACCGAAGAGATACATAAATACAGTTCAAACAATTCATGAACATGGGACTATCCTGTCTACTGTAACAACCATTATCATTACACATATTGAATTCAAAGCATCTGCATATATCTTTCTAAATACAGAAAACATTTTCTTTATCAACCCAAGCTTGTGATTTTAAAACTGCTTTATTCAGGGGTAGGCTGGAGGTTAGAAGAAAAGCAAATATAAATTAATTTACTAAAATATGGATAAACTGAAATTTGATTAACAAGTAAATTGCCTCACTCGAATTTCAAAACAAACAGATTCATGAAAATATGATCCCATCAGCATTCCAAACCACTTTATTACAAACAAATTTAACAGTTTTATTTATAATTTAATTTATGCAATTCTAAACATAATATCTGTATCCCAAACCCAGTCAATCAAGTACAACATATCATTGATAATTATTTGTTAGTATTTATTATGTAATTATTCTACATTATAACATATATTTGTAATTTACTTTGTACTATACATTTTTCTCTTACCGCAAACTTGAGTGTAAAAAAAAACCAAAACATATACTATAGCTGCGAAATTTTAATATACTGTACTCTCTACTATAGAAACTAAGAATTATTATACAGATACAATAATGCAGTCCCTTTAATTTATGTGTTAAATGCAAGTTCATATTCATCCTTCTATTACTGTAGTAAATAGTTTGAATGAACTGTGGAGACTACCACTTAAAATTACATTCACTCTTAAAGAAAGAACAACATTTCTTGTCTTGGAACAATTCAAAAACACTGACAGATCTAGATATGTTACACTGTAAACACTTAATGGTTCTAGCTTAAGATATATTACATTCATCCCAATACATATTTTATTCTTAACATTTAACAAGTGGAAGGCATCATTATTATAAACTTTGCATTCTAGCCTTTAACCATATGTAGAAATTTACATAATATAATGCCTTAACCATTAGACAGTCAGTGTCATGAACACACCATATCTAAATAAAATCTGATATTCATTAAACAAAACTGAATATTGTCTTCGCACTTTGTTTCATAAGGCAAGCATTTGGAAAAAGTTCAAGCAATGCTATGATAATCGAATATAAACAACAGTTTTGTCCATGCCATTCAAACCTATTATTTCATTATACAGTATCATCACGGACCAATGTTGAGAGGCTAAGCATTAATATCATACTTAAATGCAGGTACTTACAATCTTTACACATCAAACACTGCCCTATATAATATATTGGCTTATATTCTATTTTCCAGACTTGTTGAAGATACTACGCTTTTGTACTTCAGGTTGCAACTACTTGAAGCGCTGTCCCGCAGTCGAGAAAAGCAGTTGCTTTTGTTTCTTTTTCCCTTTCTTGCCTTTTTTACCCTTGGGGCTATCAGATGATGAGAGTGGGTCTTCTAATAAAAAAAAAAGAAAAAGAAAATTATGTTAGCAAAAAAAGAAGAATCAATATTCTGACTTTGGATGTTTCACTGTTTAATGAAAATGCAGGAATACAATAGTGAAAACTTTCTTCTTAGCCTGATTTATATCAAGATTCACACAAAACACTCGAATTAAGAGTATTGCATGCTAATAAAAAAACACAACTGAGACAGTTGTAGTACAGCAAAAGTGGAGCTTTAGCTTAGTGGTTAAGACGCTTGCCTTACAATCTAAGGTTTCTGGTTTGAACAGGTTCTGTCAAAACCAGAATTTGTTCTCATGACTCAAACACATTTACCCAAATACAGAATTGCACAAGAAGCAATGTTACACATGACCCTCTGCTAGGAAACTGAACAGCAGAAAATCAAAAACCTCAAACTTACCAACAAGAGAGCCTTGTCCTCTTACTGCTGCCTTATCAAGTGCAACCTGGATGGCATTACTAAAGGAGTCTTTGTACGTTGGCACTGGTACATAATCCTCATTCTCTTCATCACTGCCATCCAAAACTCCTGCACCATGTGACTTAGGCCAGGAAAGTGCAGCCGATACCACAGTGGGTTTAGAATTCCGAGATGACAGATTAGGCCAGGCTTCTGTCTTAACAGGACTTGTTCTTAACATCTTTAAAAGAAAAAAAATATCACATCAATAACTTCATTAATTTGTTTTTTAATTTATTTCATTTAAAAAGCACATTCAAATTCTAAATATGTATAGATTTAAAATTATATTTTATGTAACTTTTTGTGTCAAAAGCTAACTTTTTTCTGCAAAGCATTCACCAAATTTGGGGGCTCACCTGTGCAAAAGATGGTGTACTCATCGAAACATCAGAGGCACTACTTGCAACATCAACACTGCTTACAACTGCACTATCACCTGAAAAAAAACATCAATGTATTTTCTAATATAATTATTTTATTTATTTAAAAAAAAATTAAATTATTGTTATGTAATTTTATAGTAAATTATTCAATTATTCATCGTTCATCAATTTAATGTTTTCAATGTAAAATAATAAGAATAATGAATATTAACAACGTAATTGCTGTAATGTTGTAATTAAATGTTTCAGCAATTTCAATTTAAATTTCCAAATAATGTTATATACTTTATTGTCATGATTGTGGAGTGGTTTTGTTTTTATTATTTTCCTTTATTATTGTTTGTTTATTTAACATATTTATATAGGAAGGTATAATCAGATGGGAAGTAAAAACCTGTTGTAAATATGGTCCTGTTTTACAATATTACAGTACAGTATATAAAATATCCAAAAGTTATTAATGAAATTGGAAAGGACTTAATTAAAAATAAAGCTTTAGTTTAATTTAAAATTAAAATAATTAGTTGATTCTTTTAAAATCTGTGGTAGTCTATTCCATACATTTGCACCAGCATATCTGAAGAAAGAGATTATATGTATTTATATTTACTTTTGGAGGCACAATATTAAGTGAATTAAGCTTTTTGATGTTAACGTAATTCCCAATTCAGCCTTTTGACCACCATGTTTATGTTTTTATGAATTTTTCAATTTGATTGAATAAACACAATTATAAATAAATCAATCAATCAAATACTGGTAATATTGTAGAATGAAAATATTTAATCAAATAAGATCAATTGTATTATATGAAAAATCATTCATTAAAAACAGCAATCAGTCAGTTACTACTTTTATTACCATGCCCACGTTCATATACAGCACTCTCATCGTGGACAATGGAACCTGATTCAACAGACGATGTTGGTGAGACTGATCGCACACATGATTCCTCATCAATTGATGGCTGAGGTGTAGAGAATTCTGGAAAGTGGGTGTGGCTCCGCATTGACATACTAGGTGATGGGTCTAGAAAAAAAATGTATTTCCATTACTGTACTCAAATGGTCATAGCCATTATAATCATATTTCTTTGATGGTTTTGAATTTGCAATTTACACATTTCTGATGTAATTTTTATTCATAATACTCACTGAATCAAGATTTTAGCACTTTCAAGCTTCAGTAGCTTTCTCATAAGACATGCAAAAACTTACATAAGCCTTGCTTTCGACCCTCTTCCAGTTCAATTTTCTGTGCTCTTTTCTTCTCTTCCCGCACTTTCTTATCTCGAGCTCGTTTCTTTTTGTGGAAGTCATCTTCAAGAAATAAAAATTAAAACAAAGTAGATTAACAATAGAGTTAATGGTCATAATTTGTTTTTATTAATAATAGAAAGAAAGTCTTTTATGCTTTATAAATGTCTCACAAGCTTTTTAGGTTTTGAAAAGAATATTTTAGAATATAACAATGGATTTTAACTTAGCATTAAGGTCTTCAATTTTTAATAAACTACACAAAAAGTGTTGAAACTAACCAGAAAATGCCTTAATGGTTTCTTTTGAGATGATAGGTGGCTTCAGTCTAAGCTCACACACACAAAACTCACAAGTTAACGGCAAGTGCTTAAGATAGCGGAATCGCTTTCTAAGTTCCTGAAAAACACAAAGACCATATTGGAATTATTTCTTTATACTAATGTAAACTTGCCTGATTGTATATTACAAAACATGTATATAATTGTAATTATAATTGTTTACTATTACATCCACCATTAACTATTATAAACAATTCTAACTGTTATTTGAAAACTAAAATTTGCATTCTGCCTTTTTTTAATAGTTCACTGTGTATGCAATCAGGTCTAACCTGAGCAACATATGCATTTCAAACACAGTTTAACGCTGTTTTTCTTTTGGTTGTGCCTCAATAATTGCTTCCTTTCAAATTACAGGAAATTAAATATAAAAATATATATATAACTTTAATGTTCCTCACAAATTAAATACAGACTATATACATTGTATGTACAAAAAAAATAATATAGTTACTGATATTTAGTAACCGCTTATTTTTGGTTTACATAATATACTACAGTAGCATGGACACTAACCTCAGTCATAGTGATGTGGTCAATCTCAATGACTTCACCTGTGATTGTTTCCGGACATTTGGCAAGGCTTCCATACTCATTGACCAAACACCTGACATTCAAAGAATGGATGTACATGTGTTGACTATCAGCAGCTAAAAAAAAAGAGGAAAAAACATAAAATGGATTACAGATCTATCAATCAAAAGAGCAAAATTAAAAGCATGTAGATAATGTTAAGTCAGTTGAAAATGACAACTCCTGCTAATTTTTCCTTCCCATTGGATGCCTATCTAGAGAACCATTGATGAGAATTATGTGTGACCAATCAGTTTGAAACCAATCAGAATTACCAAGCTCCAGTTATCATGGTAATAAAGAATATATATTGTTTGAAGGTTTGCATGGTGAAGCAATAATATATCAATGCTTGCATTACACCACATAGATTCAGAAAAAAGAACTGTTGTTTGTTGTGGATGCCTCGACGTTTCGATTGAGTTGCTTCAATCTTCTTCAGAGAATAATAATAATAAAGAATATATACTAGAGACACTACCAACACCACTAAAAGTGTCTCCAAGGCTTAGCTCCTTTGGGGAGACTACAAATAATAATATTAAATAATAATATATTTTATAAAGTACATCATACTGTGGTTTATATTTTCTGTGACTTCATACCTTGGTAAAAATAATATGTATGTTCATTTTCACTGCTTTGTCGACGACGTCGATTTCTCTCTACTTCTGCCTTCATACCATCCTTACTATCACCATCTCTAAGCTTGTCTTCTTTTGTATCGCCTTCTTTTTGCTTGTCAACTTTAACATCACCTTCCTTAAGTTCATCATCTTTGCTATCACTATCTTTAAACTTCCCATCTTTCTCCGTGGCTTGTGTTTCAGGTAACTTTTGAACTGTCGTTTGCTGGTTCTCTAAGCCAAGTGACGCATCCATTTGTGGGTTTAAAGAAGGTGATTTTTTTCCTTCAACATCTTCCTCATCTGAAAATGCAGATGCATAAGCAAAGCAATTCTGAAAGAAACAAAATATTTTGGAGACAAATAATTAAATAAAAATTAATACAAAAACAACAAAACAACAATAATAACTCTAATAATAATGATGTTACAATTATGGAAGATGTAATACAAACATCTTCTATGTAATTACATACCACTGGTACTCAGTTAAAACATATGTGCAAAACATATATTAAATCAAAACAAGCAAATAATTTCAATATTTATTTTGAATTTTAGTAAAGGTCAGTAAAAACTAATCTGATTGCTTTTGTTTTTCTTTTAAAATTTAAGTTTTTGTAAGGTGCTCTGTTCCTCATAAAGCGCCATATAAGGATGTTGAAATAACTTTTTTAATATGTTATCACTGAAAGTGAATAAGAATGAAGGAGGTATTCAATGTTTTCGGAAATTTCTGTATTAAATACAACATTTAAACAGGACAGCTGATGTTGGCAATGGTAGTCACTGACAAATATCAACTCACAATATGCATGACCTAACCTTAGACTCTGTGGTAAGATTCAAGTGTTTAACATCCTGTTCAACTGGATTGGCAGTCTCCACATGATCTATAACTGTTGGCACCACTAAAGAGAAAACATTTTTCAGCAGTTATGTAACTTTAGTAAGAGTTCATAAATATTTTATTGAAACCTCATCCAACTTGTAGTCTTACAGCTGAATTACTTATACTCAGAACTTGGAACACACAGAACAATTCATAGAACAAGAGTCCCTAATTAATTTCACTCATTTCAAAACACAGAGGGCCAATAACTGTCAATTTATTCTGGCTTGTAGAGGGCCTTGTACAGTATTGTTTAATCTTAGAATATCAATGTAACCACCACCTACCAGTCTGAGATATTAAAGCATCTTCTCTCTCTTGATGGAGCTTTATGGCAGCCTCTACAAATGTACGTTCAAAATCCTTGGTAAAAATAAAACGAACATGCTGTTAGTAATGTCATACCAATAGGAAACGTATTAAGTCCAAAGGTGGCAGGTTAAATCCCTACGACTGAAATCTTGCAGCCTTCCTTACAAATAAGTCAATTTAAGGCAAATAAGAGTGCCAATTGATATCAATTTACAGTACAAAGCTCTCTCTACCTCCATCAAACAATAAACTTATTCCTACATACCTAACTTAAAGCATGTTTTCCATTCTATTGGTCAAAAGCAATCCTAAGCCCAACACACACCGCACCGACAATCGGAATGCATTATGCACACATAAAAAATTGTTTTTAATGACGATTTGATATGACTGCCACCGACAATGTGCAGACGGAATCGCATCATCAAGCGCATAATGAGAAGAGATGCATTCGTTGAACTCAGTCCAAAAAAAAAATTTTAAAAAAAATGTTATGTTGGCATAACCCGCCCGACCCTACAAAAATCGACAGACCCTAGACATTTTTATTTAAATTTTCACGATACAAGTTTACGTTAGCAAAGTAGGCGTGGTTGGGAGGCACTCAAAATGTTTCAAAAAGAGGTCCAAGGGCGAAAAATATATGACAATTAGGGGCTTTAAAGGCTTATTTAATTGATTTTATAGATTTCAAGGCCTTTACTAAATATTGTGGCAGCAAAAAAAAAATTGTAAAAAATCCCTAACTACCTACCCTATTTTTTGGGGCCTGTTACGCTAACATAACCCTTTTTTTGTAGGCCTTAGCTAACTAACTTACCTCTTCACATGTCGCTAACTGAACTTGAAGAATCTCTTTCTCTGGTATGATGATCTATAAAAACGAAACAAATATTTTTTTTTTTATTATTATTTTTACTATTATCATTATATATAAATATTACAGTGTGGAGACAGAAACTCTATTTAAATCACACAAAAAATTACAAAAGGGCAACTTACTATCATTACTATTACTGTTCAGATTAAACATTGCTCAATTACTTCTACTTCTATAAGTCATTTCAACAAGTTTATATTTATACAACACATCAACAACGTATGGTAAAATTTAATGTTGTTGAGACTTTTGTGCCCTCTTACCTCTGCTAGAATCTGTGATTGTGTTGTTGTGAGAAGCTTCACAAAGCTTTCCTTGGTGACTGCATCTGAAATATTAGGAAAGTGATAATACAATAAATTATCTGATGACCAAGATATTTGGGCAAACAATCCTACCTACTTAAGTATGTATAGAAAAATGTTAACATAGGCATTGAAAAGAGTTTAAATTTGCAGTAGAAGGAATGGTGTAAAAATAAGAAAATAGGATGGGCTAAGTCACCTTATTAAATTTTGGGTCTAGAGCCTCATTTACTTATGACTATGCCTTACAAATCCTATCAAATACGTGTCAAATATGTGTCCTGTCCATTTGTTTTGGAAAATAACATACTTTATTAGTCCAATAATATACCTACCTCCCATCTTGAATGGATCATTCATTTTATGCAAATTGTGCGAGACAGGAACTGCTACCACTGAGCCTTTTTCACGCTTCATCAAACGCATGGTAACTTGCTCTCCAACACAATAGCTGTGAGTTGCTACAGTGACTACACTGTTAAAGAAGACACCACATTTATGGTATAGAAGCCAAAAAAATATTCTTCCCCCACCCCTCCAAAAAAAAAGATCTAGAATCAGTATTTTTATTAGAAGCCTGATAGACAAAATTCATGTTATTTGAAAAAGCCATTTTTCAAGTTTTTTTTTATTACAGTATTTGTTTGACCTAATATTACTTACAATACACATACAAATTTACACATGCATTTTACCATCATAAACAACTTGATAATAAAAACTTATTTTCTAAACATAATGTAGTTACTACTACCTAAATGACTAAAACATTTCTTGAGTGAATAAACACAGATGTTTCATCTGATTTCCAAACTGCCATCTGTGACATTATTATAAAATAATAGTTAAAATGATAACATACCTTTTCAAATCCTTCCCAATGATTGATTCATAACATATTGGGCATTTTCTCCAACTTCGATCCCCAAGGGACAGGTAGTGTAGAATGCATGACCAGCAGTAGACATGGCCACAACGTGTGATCTTGGCTGCCGTTGGAGGGTACAGGCAGATCGGACAACTGGGCTCTTCATGGCTGAAGATACGGACTTGCTCAATCAGCTCCCACTCCACTAGGATATCAGCATCTGCTGCATGCACTGTGTAATCATGGTCGGCCTTTACAACAAACTGGCAACTAAAAATATAAAACCCTTTTATTTAATGAATTAGAAATTTTTTTTTTTTCAATTTACTAGTATTTTTTTTCAATTTACTAGGAGTGTGGAAGCATTTGGCGCAGTGGTTTTGTTTCTGTCTCCCAACCTCAAGGGTGATGGTTTGAAGCTTCGCTGTCCATTTTGCTTGTGTTCATAGACAAGGAATTTACCAACGTTTGTCTCTCTCCATCCAGGAGTATAAATGCGTACCCAGTGGTTCACTACTATGGAGGAAAAAGGCGACATGGAAAGGAATTTGACACCCTACCACACAATACCAAGGCTTAGTATGATGGGGTGACAGCTCATTCCCCTATGTTCATTAATGAATACAGGACTACCTTTTTAATTTATTATTATTTTAAAAAATTATTTATACTGGAGAAATTGTTTCCAGCTAACCACCAATCTAGGTTCCAGCAATGCCTTATGAACTAGTTCTATCAATGAGGTTTTACATCTTTCCTTACTTTGCCTGTAAAAATTGTTCCTTATTATACCGAGGTCTTCTACGATTCCATCTGTTGCGACCACTAAGCGAACCACCACTTCCAGTTCCATCTCCATAAGAATCACGGGGTAGGAATGTGAAGTTGATCAGGTGGTTGAGGTTAACCTTCTTTGGCCCATTTGGCAAGGCTGAGCCATACTCAACCCTCTGGACCTGTGTCACCTGCAATAAAAGTATCAGATGGTGCTTACAACTCATTATTGTGACATATGCATTTGCAACATTTAAAATAAAAACACTATGTAAATACTGCAATAACAATAAAGACTTACTTAGCAGAGAAAACTTTGAATATTATACTTAAGGTGGTTATCAATATCAAGGAAAAAGAGATAGAAAGCATCAGCCAGGCTTTTTAGCATACCTCGTCACGTCTACCATTCCATTGAGCATTTCGTCCTCTTGGCCGTTTATCAAGGCCTTTAAACTTCTGAGGTTGAGGCTTTCGAGCTGAGCTGGTAGACTCTGGTTTTTGCTGGGCAGGGTCTCGGCGTTTATTGTAACGCTGAGATCCATTCCCAGGCGTACGAAAATTGTCTGAAATAATAAAAGTATAAGATATGTTATAGCGTACTGTCTGTATGTACTGTAGTAGCCAGGCAAACAAATTCAATAAATGAAAAACATAGAATAACCTTACTATATGTAATATTGGCTACTGTAAAAATTAACTTAAGCATGGACTTGGTGCAGAAGTTTTATTCAAATTAAATATACCAACTAGGTCTTGGCTATAATAGGACCTTTTAACTACAGCACTACATTAGACACCACTTTCCTTTCATATCCAGCAATAAGAAAGGTTGTCCAATTGCTTAAACCACAGACATGCAATTGGAAATACTGTATTTTATGCAGCCCTACCACCATGGCATGGTCCATGGACATACTGTACAGTTTTTTAATTGCGCGAAGTTAACAGCTCAAATTTGCGTGAAAAATCGCTAAGAAATGGGTGCTCGGAATTGTAATTGCTGCATAATTACATTGGTTAGGCCCCATAAAAAATGATTAGTTTATCACCCTATCAAAGAATAAAAACTGATGAGGGAGTAAGGTTGTTTTTTTTTGCTAACCCCCACCCCAATTTTACCAATGTTCACAAGTTAATCAATAGTTAGGGACACATATATAAGAAGTCATAAGAATGGTTTCAAATTTATATTTAAAAATATGTTGTTGTTGTACCAGTAAACATATTCTCAAAAAATCCTAAGCTTTTTAAGTGAAAAAAGATGGAAAAACAACCATTTGAAATAAAAAATATATGTTGATTGGAGAAAAATAAAAATAAAAATTTGCCCAAAAGTGATAAGGGAGGGGGAGATAAACTAATAATTTTTTTATGGGGCCTTACTACTGTATTAAGATTTGGTCAAATCAAATCCTGACTTTCGGCAAAATCAAGGCCTATGTGGAAATCGGCCCTTGTAAGTTATTATCCTAAATGTGTGGACGGATTTCTAGGCCAAGTTTTTGTGCAGAGGATACATTCCCCATGCTGGCCTTACTATACTATACATCTGGGTCCATGGCAAAACAACTACTGTAACTGCTCTTTTATTTGTGTTAAGTTGCACATTGTTCTGCCTTAGAACGGCTGTAAATGTTTGTATGTATGTAGGCCTATTCTGCACATAAACATTTAGCCTGCGTATGTCTACTAACTATTTTGCAATAATAAATAGGAATAAATAGGGCCTAGCCCTAGGCATAAATACCCAATTCTAAATAATTAATAGTATTCTATTAGCCTAATTTGATAAAGAAAAGGCATTTCCAACCTTTGGCTTTATCAAGTTGAGTGCCTTTGGCATTGCCATTGCTTGTCAAAAGACGAGGTGAAGGTTTCACTTCCATTTCTACTTCCTCTCCTAGCATCGACTATTGAGTGTGAAGATGGCCTAGTGGTAGGCCTTGGTGGGATGTTTACCCCAAAAGGAGACGAACTGTTGACTGGACTTCTGGGATTCATTTCACTGCTCCATGATTGCACAAGTCAACGAAAGAAAAACAATCTGCTGTCCAAGTAATGACCGCAGAGTAATTGCAAATCTTATAAAAATTGAGCTATAAACCTACTTAACTTGTGCTTAAGTGCACAAGCCTGTTTATTTTCTAGCTTTTTCCAAAATTTGGTCAATAGAAGACCAATTTTGGAAGAAATTTCTTCGCATTCAACGTCGCTTCGTTATATAAAATGGCGTAGTAGCCGCCCGGTGCAGTATCATGTAAAACATGGATTTCAATAGATGGTCTGGTTGAAATATTTAATATTTAGCGTAATTAAGTCATGATATTTTAAATAAGCCAGACCACAAGTAATCAAAATACGGAAGTCTCTACAAAAGGTTTGCTACTAAAGCAAATAACTCAATGAATCTAATGAATAATAACAAAATGCAAATTACTAAATTGCGAATTTCGTGTTTTACACACATCTGAAATTGAACTTCCATGGCGGGGTCAAGGATCATGTGATATAGGCGGTAGATTTGAAAGTACAAAACAAATTCACACCACCTGCCAACATTTTGACGGCCATATCACGGCGACCAAAACGATTGTATAAATGTTTTCTCCCTTTATCATTTTTTGTTATCGTATTTTGGAACGGTAATTTCTTAATTAGAACAATTATGTTTTTAGTGTAATAAATAGAGAACACTAGGCTAGATTAGATAGAGGGCCTACCTATAAAATTTAAAGCCGTAGGCTGCACGGCGTAGCGTAATGTGTACCCTGCAGGTAGGAGGGCCCAGCTAGGCTAGAGGCCTATAGTGCCTCTACTGTATCTGTAGTACTACTATTTAGGCCTAGGCTAGCCTGGGGCCTAGTTATAGTAGTAGTACTAGGTAGGTAAGGTAGGTTAGAGCAGGCCTACACTAGAGCGAGTGAGGACTTGCAGAAAAAATTTCCTCATTCATACACACACACTCACAGTCTCACTCAGACAGAGCATGCCATTTGTTTGATTGAATGGGTGGGGGATGGGTTGTGGAGTAAGGTAAGAGGGGTTGATCGATTGACTGATGGTTAAGATGAGATGGGGCACGCTAGCTAACAAAATATAGTGAAAAGGGGATGATTAGGTAAAGTTTCCTACTTCAAAAATTTACAAATGATGGGGTGGGGAAGCAGTAGCTTTTTTATGTATAAGTTTGTGATTGAACATAGCCTAACTAGGATACTACAATAGTGTGTGAGTACAGTCCTTTTTTGATCTCTACTGTGGCATTGCTGGGATCCCATAGCTCAATTTGCATGGAAAACCACTGGGAAATCAATAACAAATTCATAATTTACTGCATAATACATTGGATAAATTAAGATTGTCAAAGCCTAATTTTCTGACCATATCTGGGATCCACAGTCCAATACTAGTTGTGAATACAGTTATCAATTATTGGTCTATGCGTACCATTTGTTTTATGGTTGGTTTGTGCACGATTTGATTCATGAAAATTTAACAATACTATGAAAAGTTAGAGAAAATTAAAATTTACGGTTTATATAAAAATACACAATTTCTTATAAGTTATACAACATTAAACTTTCATTTTGACAATGTTGGATTTAGGTGCAAAAGAAACAAACAATTGTGAGATACAAATTTATTTAGTTTTTCTGAAAGTGAGCCTCATGAACCACCCAAGATGAGCATCCTTTTGCTGAAATGCCTTGATCATTTTAAATGAGTTTTTTTAGGGGTTTTTTTTAGATTTGTTTTTTGGCAGACAGTGTATCTTTAAGTGTAGTTTTCTGACTTGTGCAATCATTTGCTCATCATCCATGATAATACTAATATTAAAACAATGTCTTCTGTTAGGTAAAATTATGGAAAAATTTGGGGAATATGATCCTGCAACTCCTCTTGGAAAAGCATTCTGCCAACAGGTAACTGCTGAAGAATTTGAACACCAGGGCACAGAGGCTACCTACAATGCTCTGAAGGTATGTAGTGAATGATTTTTACATTTAGAGGAAATATCTTTCAAGTTGTCCTTTGTGAACTACAGTCCACAGCTTATTTTAAGTTTCTTATATTCAATTCAAATTCAATTCAAAATAAATTTATTCCAAATCTTTTCAAAGCATAGATAAACAGTACAGATATAAAAAAGGAAATAGAAAGGGCAACCACAAACAAGCAGAGCTTTACAATAGTGGTGCCCTAAAAAAGTAATTAAAATACTATTTCAAATTGACAAAGTAAGTCAAGGTATACATTTTAATTAAAGCACTTTCATGTCATAGATCAAGACAATAATAATAATAAGAATAAGAATAATAGCAAAGAATACATGACCAATATATGACCATCAATACCAGATAGTTCGTCACCGACACCACGACGAGGCACAAACTTAAAAAATCATATTTTTTCAATTTATGATTGATAACATCGAATGTTATCTTTTCACCTAATTTTTTATTTTTGTGCTAATTAGCTGTAGCACACACAAACCGACACAAAATTTCAGTGCGTTATTAAAAGACGCGCTTGTGGCGTTGCAATCATTGTGATTGCTAGAAAAGGCCTAGCTTGGTTAAGGCTAGATGTAAAGATTAGATTTCCCTGGGTTACCTAGGAATAAAGGTACCCTTCTTGCAGTACAACTTTGAATAGGTCTATACATGTGCATAAAATGTGGAATTATTAGTAAAAGCATAATGATTTAAGCAGGATACGCCAGGTTTGTAGGCGAGCCTGTTTTCGCCTTTGACTACAATAGTTAAACCATAGGCTAAAATACAGTTTGTGCAAGTGTGTATCTTAACAATGGGAGCGCGTATTGTTTTCACAAAGAGACACAAACTTCCTCTACCTGTAAACAACATAGGCTATGATGTGTTTATTCTGATCACGAACAGACACAAAATTCTCACGCAGCTAATTAAGTTAAGTTAAAGTTAAGAAAAAATAAATAGATTTAACATTTGAATTGTTTAATGCTTTACCTACATATGTAAAAAAATATTCAAACTTTCATTATCTTGATAGTGAAATATACGGATTTGTGAAATTCTCAGTACGTTGTTTTTGTCGAATTTGAAGTTTGTGTCTCTTTGTGAAAATGGTGACGAGTTTACAGAACTTAGAATTATCTACATATGTGCTTATTATGATTATTATTAATTAGCACACCAGTGATAAAAATGTTCATATTTCTGTATGTGTGATTTTCATTAAGCACTTAGCTCCTCAAAATACCCTCAAAATTTCATTCATTTTTTTTATATTGTATAGGATCTTATGGCATACATGGAAGAACATCCTGAACAAGTTAAAGGAATTTTAGCTAAGAAGAAACAAGATGATCAAGAAAATTCAGGCATACTCTCATACCTGAAATGTAAATTATTTACCTCTATAAAAGGTGATGATTACTTGAAGGACACTATTAGTAAAGATGACTGTAGAGAAGAATCGGCGAGGCTTCAGGAAGAGATGCAACAAGCTTTTAACTATGCTCAAGGTAGATGTTATCTTGGTTTTCTTTGATTTCCAATATCTAGTAGCCTGTTGATGTAAGTGGAGGTGGTAAGCCCGACAATCACTGCACCGCATGACCCCAACTCCGCTCCATGTAAGCACTTGATGACACAACACCGTCTATTGATTGTCGGTGGCAATCTGAACCTATCGTCATTGAAAATGTTATGTTGTGGAGTTGCGTTCTGCATAGAATCGTGTCGGGTGACGACCGTCAGGCGCAGGGTGTGCCTGGCTTTACTTTCCTCCAATCCATGTGTCCATGATAATGACAATAGTATTAGCAATAGCCATATTAGGAGAGTTAAATTATGGCATGAGATGATAGAGTAGTCGTTGAATAAAGCGTTAAAATATTTCTGTAGATTTTCTTATTCAGTTTGTTGTTTACTTAACTGTGATAATAAATGTTGTAACATGAAGTCGCTGAAATTAATTTTGTTTTCATTATTTAGAAGCCAAAAACAAAGCAAGAAGGTTTTCAAAAAGAATTGCATCAAGGAAAGCAATTAGAAGTAACGTAAATGAAATGACAAATCCACCATTTGTGCCACCACCACCTCCTCCTCCACCGCCACCGCCACCATTTTCCCCACCATCAGGGTCAACTTGGTCAGTTCATGATGACTCTTTTGAAAAACCAATATTAGTTGTTAAGCCAAAGCCTAGGCCTCCAATACACAGTACCCCTACTGGCAGGAGTACCCACAAATCAACCAGATATGTTCAAAGGAGCAAGCCCAAAGGCGCTAGTGCCGAAGCTACAAGTCCATCCAAACTTAAATATAGAAAGGCTACACCATTTAGAGAAAGAACAAATACGGTGAGTTCTTTTCATTTCTTTAACTGCTTTAATTTTTCTAATTGCTCCTTGTGAGTACTGTAACAGTTCATTGCTTCTGTATGTGCTGCGAATAATTCAAAAATTTCAATATTTTCAATTTTTTAACAGAATTTGTTTGATAGTTTTTGCTCCTTTTTAAATTTTATAGAACATATAGATATATTTATTTTTATGTTATTTTTTTAATGATATTATTATGTTTTTTACCTTAAATCAGCGGAGAAACTTTACACAACAATTGAGTTTGCTTTTTGTTTATCCCGTCTCTGATTTTAGGTCTGTTGTAATTCTTATTGTTTGCACTGTTATAATGAAATAAATGAAATAAAATAAAAACTTTTTTCAGGAAATAACAGCTCCTTTGGTTTCTATTTTCTAACATTGCCTTTAAAGCTTGACAATAATTTGTTATTATTACCTGTACAATGTTTTCTATAAATTTGATACATTACAAACAGGTAAGGAATATAAGAAATGTATGTTTCACAGAACATAGATAACATTTTGGATTTAAGAATTTATATTTTTCTTACAGATTAATTCTCCCGAAAATATTTCCACAAAAGAAGTGAATTCCGGCACGAAGAAAGATGAAATTTCTAAGTAAATGTTTTATTTTTATCAATTCACTAACTAAGCTTATGCTACCACAGAGCTGTGTCATGTACATTCATGTACTGTATTTAAAAAAAGTCAAAATTTTTTTTGCTTTACAATTGTCAAGATAAATAGTAAACTGCTGTTAAATGCTTGATTTTGTTCTGTATATCAGGTTTAACTAACACATTTTCCAACCATTTATATCTGTTTAGTGTTCATGATGAGATTCGAGCATTTAGTAAGAAGAACCTTCGCTCTGTCATGTCTGGTAATCGGTAAGAATTTCACAATCATTTCATATTTCTCATGTACAGGTCTGCCTACAATTAAAGACCACTTTTGGAGTTTTCATGCTCTTTAGCAGCTTTGGTCTCTTATTAGAATAATAAAAATGAAAGACATTTGTTATTTTGGGACCACAGAAAAGCGGTCTTTAATTGGAGGGGTCTTTCATAGAGGGAGACCTGTAATAACATTCTGTTTATCAGGGCAGTGGGATAATGCCTCTGTTCTCTCTTGCAACAATCTGTAGGAGCTCCTTGATTACCTGTTGCTGAAACAACATGAATAAACTAATCTAAACACTATTCCTGGTATTAAAATGGGCTCTATTGGCATTATCAAACTATTTGGGTACTCAAATCAACATTGGTAAATTTGGCTATTGATAAATAATAAGTAAAATATGCCTTGCATTATATTTGTTGATACATAATGAGTCTTTTAAATAAACTTTCTTAGGACTTTGGAAATCTAAAAATGGCACTGACGACCAGGGTGCTTCGTCGTCTGGGTCCCATGCGTCTCAATGACCTCCAGTGACAGCACTTGCAAGGGCCCCGGTTTTGGAAATCTACTGGCCTTCGACCCTGGCATTACACTACTGCTAATAAATCTATGAATGTGTACTAAAATGGCTGAGTGGTAAATGGCTTGAAAAATCTTTTGCAAACTTAATATTGAAGGCCTTGTCATAACTTGTCCTAGATATTTCGTCAGCCAACATAATATAATATTTATTACCCATCATGAGGAAAAAAAACTTTAATGGAAAATCAAATGTACTAGGTTAATATATTTGAAGAAATTAGAAAAAATTGGTGATCTTGGATCATTTATATCATAAAACAATTGGTACTTACATTAACAGGTACTGTACGAAGGTAAGGAGAATATAATTTACTAATTTTTAACTAGACCTGGGCAACTACAGTAGGGGCAGGTATTTTGGCTAGCCCAGAGCATTTTCATTTAAAAAATAATACAAATTTATTCCAGGTCACCTGGAGGAACGCCATTACGGACACCTCGTACAAAGCGCCTGTTGACTACGTCAGATCTCGATGCCTGTGTTGGAAATTACTCTGGAGTATCGCTATCATCACTTCAACAGATTATTACGGAAAAATTTCGTAACATTAGGAGTCCAGTAGATGCCCCAAGCCCTCTGAACTGCACTCTGACCAGCCCAAGTGGATTTACACCATGATTTTCTAGGGATTATACCATTATTAATAGGTCCATGATTATACAGTACCAAGTGATTTGTGCTGTTATCAGATCATTCCATAGTGGTAGCCACTAATGTTGCACCCTACAAGTAATTTTTTTCTCTCAAATTTATATCAGCTATGAAAAATATATGATTTATTAAATTCAGAGTGGCAGTGCTAAAATGCACTACAGTATTAGAAGTTCTACACTATTATCAATGTTTTGTAGGCCTATAATAGTTAAGTTGTAAATACTGTAATATATTTAAATAATTTGTATGTTATTGAAAGTCTTTTAAAGGTATACTGTATGTGATGAACTAGTAAACCCTATTTGAAATTACTAGGCTATGTCTTAGGTCTCAGAAAGTTGAATAACAAAGTAATTCTCACCATTAATAAATCTCATTAATTATAACTAAGGCTTTTCATATTAAGGAAACTAAATTGGCAAAAAACAGAATTGTTGTGATTTGTGTCTCATTAGATGTTGAATCAGCTAATTTTATACTGAAATTGAGCAATTCATTTTATTTAATTATTGAAAAATTGTCCAGGTTTCATTACAAACAATATATATTTATTAATAATTAATCATGTAAAACATAATTAAAATACGGTGTGGTAGTCAATAGTGATTATATCTAGGCAGTTGTAAATTTGTTAGTTAAGATTTAGTTGAATTTGGAATCATTTATTTACATTTCAAGCTGATGTATAAGTTACAAAACACATTAAAGTACTGTTATATAAGATGAAAATGTGAATCATTTTCAATAGGTGTGGTAAGGATGAATTGTGGCTTTAAAAACACCTTGTGAAAGAGGCAACTATTAGATTAGTACTTCATATTTCTGTCTTTCTCTAGTTGTAAGTATTTTTATTATTTTGTTCATGTTGTATTCATCATCTGTTATATAGTAATGCCCCTAATGAAACAGAATAAGATAACAGTTTTTGTAATAAAAAAACTAATATAATAATACAGTTGAACTTGCCTATTGTTCGACCTAGATAAAATTTGACTTACAGATTACTAATTGATGGAAAACACATGTAAAATAAGTTCGACTTAGGCAAGTTTAACTGTAGTTGCCAAGGGACCTTTCCGAGTGTCAATGAAACTTAACAACTGACCAATCAGAATGTGGTATTTAATAGCTAGGGGTTGTTTCATTGATGATCTGGACACCAGGACCCCATTGGGGAGAAAAATATTTGTTGGAGAGGAGATATGATATACATGTATATTTTTTACATATTAGTAGACTCTAAAATCGATTAAATAAGAATGAAACCCCTAAATTGTCATAGTTTCTGGGGATCATTTCTTAGAGACTGAGCAATGCATGGGCACAATAGCCACAGGAATACACATGTGACAAGTTCCACAAAAAAGAAAGTTTTCATATCTTTATGCTGTCCTTTTGTGGGTCTTCAGCAAATATATGCAAGGGGGTGTGCTTAGCGAAAAGTTAATTACGACATCTTTTAAGCCTTTAATTTGTTTGATGTTACATTATATTTTTTGTTTTGATTTTGCAGTAGTTTATGTACAGTAGATACTTCACCTACAGTACTGTATGTCAGGAATACTGTATAAGCACTCCACAAGGCACTATAAATACTATATTGTTATTAACTACTTTATTGGTCACAATCCAAATTCTAATGAAAATTATAATGCAAGATTCCTGACAAAACATTTTACTTTATGGAACCAACAATTTTATTTAAATTAAACTGTACAATTTTTTTTTCTTGTGAATCATGCAATAAAATAAATTCACAGTCATCTCTCATAATTGTTTCTCCCAATAAATGTTTATACTGTACAATGTAGCTTTAAATGTAGTAGACAATTACTGTATAACACAAGAAATAAATAAAGCTGTTTTAAATTCCTGGGTTTTGTCAACTTCTTTACAGTTCATTATCCCATAGGGTCTGTGATTATCCTACCTTGTATCACTATTGCTATACAGTAGAGTACATAGTATAGTATAGTACATATTCAGACAATCATTTTTAATTATCTCCAGTGGATTTCCATACTAAAGTTACTGTCACATGGTTTGTTGTATTCAGACAAACAGTACAAACTACCGCATTCTCGTGAATAAACGCCTGGGCGCTTAAAATATTTTTTTGCACTTTTTAAGGGGCGCTTATTCAAACAGAGCGCTTATGAAAACAGAGTGGAAATTGATGGGGCGCTTATGGAAATATATGAAAATTGAGGGGTTCTTCTGGGAGCTGGGAAAATTCAATGAGTGCTTTTTGAATGAAAAAAAGATTGTATAAGGAAATCTGCAATCCAAAGATTACGATTGGTTCTGGTGCAGAAACGATAATCGTCCAGAGAGCAGGGCTCTTAGCAATGCTGCGAGTTCCAACAGCAGATGAAATTGGTGGTGGTGGTGTATAAGCTTGTTGGCCATCTGCCGATTGAGATTAGCAGGAGCATTGCAGGGCTTAAGTCTTGCAAACTCACATGAGAAGACAAATATAAGAAGAGGAAAGATGCTTTCAGGGAGCTTCCATCTGTCCAGGAAAAAATCTTCATCTTGTAAGAAAATGTGAATCATATCCGCAGCTCAAATCATGCCAACTACAGTCTCAAGATTAGCCAGATTATCGTTTGCTAAAAGAAATCAATCACAAAATATTGTTTTAAAAAATGATTAAACACAGAGTGGTACTTAAAACAGGGCGCTTATTCGCGCGAGTACGGTACAATGATAATTTATTTTTACATACTATGTCATAAATCCTAATCAGTAAAACCTGCAATGCAATGGTACAGGAAGCACCCCACAATGAGGTTCTAATAATTGAGAAAAACAACCAATAAACATTTTAAAATATTTTTATTTTGCATCATATACAGTAAGGCTAATTTATAATGCAATAGATAATCAACATGTTATTGTCAACAAATTGCAAGCTAATATAAATTTTTCATTTCAACAAACCAACAACAAAGTTAGTTCAGTACAGAACTGAAAGCACTGAAGGAAGTAAGGCCCCATAACAAAAATTATTAGTTTATCACCCTATCAAAGAATAAAAACTGATGAGGGAGGAAGATTTTTTTTTTTTTTTTGCTAACCCCGCCCCCATTTTACTAAAGTTAATCAATGGTAGAGACACATATATAGAAAGTCATAAGAATGGAATCAAATTTATATTTAAAAAATTTGTTGTTGTTGTACCAGTAAACATATTTGTAAGAAATCTTGAACTTTCCAAGTTAAAAAAGATGGAAAAACGACCGTTAGAAATAAAAAAATTAAAAAAATTCCCCAAAAGTGACAAGGGAGGGGGTGATAACTATATAGTTTGTCCATATACAGTAGTAGTAATATACTGGAATCTGTGAATTTTTCCATTTTATTTAAAAAAAATTAATGTTGTATTTATATATGAGAGTTTTTACATGATTTCTGATGTCTTGATGTTTTATGCCTTGGGCGTTTTCCCTTTGTTTTGACCTTGAGTCTGTGGAACCTGTCCTCCCCTTTTTAATCTGTTTGTAAGTTGCAATAAATTGAATAAAGAATAATCCTTCAAAAACGTTAAATTGCTTAAACAATCATACCCTTCAATGTTCGAAGAAAAAATACATCAAAGCATTTCAGTTTTTTCACAGATTTTGAAGTCTTCCATGAAAATTACTTTTTTGATAAAATATAGTTTGTACAATATTTTCAAACTTGTCCGGTGCAAATTCATAATTTGTCCGGTGCGCGTATGGATGGATACTGTACCTTCCAATGAAGGAGCTCTAATCTGATTGGATGACATCCAATTTTGACATCAAAATAATAACATTGATGACGTTGTAGCTAGAGACGTACACAAGCAAGACGAAATACCGAGGCCTGGAGGGTTGTAATGGTTCTAAAATGATGCTCCTAACTGTTCCCATTGTGGATTTCAGTTTTAAAATAATTACATTATTTTTGATATTGATTCCTCATTCTAGCTTTGCAAGAAATGAAGTACTTATTTCCTTGTCCGAGGCTGGGAAGTCAAACGATCCACTCTCTGCTGAAGAAGCAGACGACTTCAAATTCCTAGGCTCCTTTACAACAGGCACAGGATCAGGAGCGATTGATCAACCTATTGATGGACTTCTTCATATAGTAAGTATAGCCTAGGCCTATATCTGTTGGTGTATAACGAAGAAAATTTGTAGACTAGGCCTAGTATGATTTGATTAAATGGAGTTCGAATGCCATAAAACAATAAATAGTAGGCCCAGTCAGTAAATAGCAATGAGTTCAGTGGTGAAGCAGATGGAAAGCTCTTGTCCTTCAGAGTGGACGTTAAGTCGTGCATGGGTTCTGTACAGTGGCGTAAAAAGAGTCATAGGTGGAGGGGGAATGTTGGGCCTCTTGATCAGCATGCAATATATTTTCCAATAAATAAATTTAAAATAAACACTAGAAGGACCCCACTGCCACTGGAAATAAGTCGTCTTCTAGACTGTTTATCCTTGGTGTTTACACCAAATAAATCCAATCCAATCCATAGATATACCAAATGCCTTCTGACCTCTGCTGGCACATTTTCTTAAAAACCAATTATTTTCCCACAGGTATCTGCCACCTGTAAAAATGAGGATGATGAGTTGGACCAGGATGTACCTGATGCCGAATGGATTGCAGTGATATTTATTCCATCATTGGATGATATCACAACAGAAACAAGCTCTGATAAACAGCAACCACAATGCAATATATTAGAAATGGTAATAATAATAAATTGATATTTTTTTATCTGCAGTAAATTCTGGTTAACTTTCCAAGTAAGACTGAATTAAATTTGTTGTAAAATTATTATTATTATAGTTGGTATTTCCCATACATATTGTGATTTTAATGTATGTTAATTATGCAAAAATTTCAGTAAATTATATTATTTTTTATTTTGTAAATTAAAGGTTAAAGCAGCCATGTTATTTGGTGCATCTGCAGCCTTGCTTATTACCATGGAGCCAAAGTGGATGTCCAACGTAAGCATATAACTTAAAGAAAAAGAAAAACGATATTAAATCGTTGTTACTATCCACAGATATAAATTAACCATTTTATGTTTTCATTTAGCTTTACGCTTGGAATAATCTTCATTTTCCAGTGGTTTCAGTGTCTAAAAATGATGCTAAAAAGATGACATCTGCCATAAAAAGGTGTGTTTGTGTTTATTCAAAATCATATTTTTTTAAATTTTGAAAATTAAACATCTTAACATCATTATCATGTTTTTGCTGCTGTAACATTTAAATTTTAAAATACTTTCAGGTTTTGGAATGGAAAAAATCTGAAGATATTAATGCAGCTTACAGAGCAGAAAGAAGAAAAACAAATAATGGTATGTCACTTGTATCAATACAGAGTGACAATTCACACTAATTAGCTGGACAGTACCTCCCTGGATCTACTTCACTTTTGATTATGGAACCAGGTTTAGCAGGGCTCAAATCAGGCTAATGTGTGTCTGTAATTTCATCACTATGCACCTTCCACTTATTGTGGGTTGTATGTTAAAAATTACTCGTCAACATTGATGGTAACATCCGGCTTAATCAACTAAGATATACAAAAAAAAATAAAGGAGAGAGTACATAATTACAATACTACTGTATATGAGTATGGTACTGTTGTATGATGAAGCTTATATGTTCTTTTTTACAAAGAATTTTGGCACAGTGGTAGGGTCTGTGTGTGTGCGAATGGGAGGTGTTGACCCAAACTTTAGAGGCTGGAGAAGTATTGTATGTAAAGGTGGTAATTATACAATTAATAAGGTAAAATATTTTGATAAAATGTGGTTGACTGTATTAGCCATCTTATTTCTAAAATCAATGATTTTGTTACTTCTGTACCTAATTGTGGGAAAATGTTAGATAACATATTTGTTTTGATTAATATCAATCCAGATGTTGATATTACCATAAATAACATCACGATTGTTTACGTTTTTGCTCAAGTCATTGCTGCTAGCAAAAGGATGGCTAATTTAAGTCAAGAATAAACATGCTTAGAAATCTTTTTGGTTTGAAGTATTCACATAGGCTGACTCTATGGTCCACTTGTGGGCGGTCCTATGGCGGGACATTTAATGAATGGGATGGCACTACATGCCCTGGACGTGGAGTAACAACACAGGTCAGGAGAAATTTGACTTTAAAGAATATTTTATACCCCAAAGCTATTGGTTCATTCATTATTATGAGACAGAGCATTCTAAAACCATGCAACATTTATATAGTCGATGAACTATTATAATTAGGAATTATTTCCATAGTTAATTTAGTCCACATTTTGAAAACATCACTAAATAACTATAAATGACTTACATGAATATACAAAATTATTCATTTGCAGCCGAAGCTGAATTGTAGAATTAATTAAAAATTATATCTTGTTTAAAATAAATGATCAATATGGAGGTAGAATGGCTAAAATTCTCTTCCCTGCTTATACTGAAAAGTCATCCATAAAGTGCTGTAGTTTGTAACTATCTTCTGTTTTTTTTATCAGGTGTCTCCCAATAGCATACTCAGCCTTGCCCTATCTATTGTTGGAGGAATGATTTTACTATTAATTATGAACAGAAAAACACAAAATATGGAGAATCAATTAGTAATTGAGGATGTTGAGGTAAGCATAGACTCAACTCAATTTGCTGTTACAACTGCTTTGCAGTGGTCGGACAGGTCAGGCCCCAAATAGACCAAATATAATATAAATTTACAGTTAAAAAAATCTTCAGAAAAGCTGAATTGTGCAAAACTGCCTAGTCTCTCTGTGCCCTGCTTACTCCTGCCAGCAGTAAAAAAAAAAATCTCTGTAACCAAGTGTAAAATCATTTAGGTAAGAAATTAAATTGGCTAATAATATTTGAAGTTGTCATGGTGTGCAGCTTCCTGAATTTACAACTGGTAAGGAAACATTCCAACCCTTGATCGAGCTGACTTAAATTGTTAGTACACTACATAAAATTATTTTGTGAAATCAGGTAATAAAAACAATGGAACTACTGTATTTATTCAAATAAATGCCCCACTTTGAATAAACTGCCACTTTGAATAAATGCCCCTCTAGTGCCTCATTTAGAATAAACGCCCCGTTTTTTCCTAGAATTATTTGAGTATATACGTATCCATTTTACACCAAAAAAATAAACGCCTTCCACAAATAAATACCTCCTCAAAAACCCCCACACAACAATTAACACCCCAATATGTTTATTCAAATAAATACAGTTTTAAAGCCGACTACTTCATTACATGCTCTTTCAAATTATATGTTGGCCTAGAAATGAAAATTAGCTTGTGGGTACAGCACCAACAGTGGCATGGCTTGTGAAAAAACATTCTCTGTACTAATTTAATGTAGTTTTGAACTTCAATACTTTCCAAGAAATCAGTAAGTCTATCACTTCAATATATCAGTGCAATTGATTCCTTATTTACCTGTTTGTATTGCCTTCATTCTGGTAGGAAGCCCTGCGACGATTAGCACGCACAGCAATTATGAAAATGCCAACTCGCAAGTATAAACGTAAACGACATCAACAGAATAACTATGCAGAATGTGCAGTTTGTTTAGATAGATTTCTACCGAATCAAGTGAGTACTGTGGATTAAAAAAAAAATACTGTATGTAAATATAAATCCTCACACTTTTTACTAATTCCATCATCTTAACTGGTGGTATCAACTGTGTGCCATGAATCACAAAATGTGTACAGACCTTTCAATCACTGATCTCATTCTGCTTCAGTTGGATAGCTGAAATACAAGTTAAAATAGTGCATGGTCTTTCTAATGCAACTTTTAATCCATTTGTCCTGTGTAAAATATGGCCCATGTACTTGTTAAGAGAGATTTTCTCCTGTTCAATCTACTAATCAGGCGCGGATCCAGCAGGGGCCATGAGGGCATGTGCCCCTCCCCCTCCCCCATTGATCAAGCCAAAAAATAAAAAAGGGAGAAAAATTTGAGATAAAGAGAGGAAAGGGGGAAAATGGAGTGCACCCATGAGTTCAGTGGCGATTATTATTTACACCAACCATGGTGGGGTGGAGGTGGCCATGGCTCTTATACACATCT